CAGAGCTCGGCCCCACTGGAACAATATTGTCTGTACTAATGTCTCAGGTCATTCCTCCACTTCCTCCCAGTGCATGTTGGGAGGGAAAAAACATCCCCAAGAGTGTTTGCAACACATTCATCCCTACAGAACACACGCCAAAAACAAACACACCCCCACACACACACACATACACACACACAGATTCAACTGGTGATAATTCATGCTGAAAACTGCAGAAACTGAAAACTTGACATCAGCAGCAGGCCAGGTGGTCTGCCTCTGATCCACAATGATATTCCGTTTAACCACATTATGCAGTGACAGAAGCTTCATTATCTTCACACAATAAAATCTGATTTCCATTTTAAGTGAGGAATGAAAACGTACAACTTTGATTTTGTCAGTAAGAGTTTCATATACTGTACACAGAGCGGCTCTTTTCTTCAAATTTCTTTGCCAAAGGTCAGAGGATAAATCGCTGTGAGCAGTTTAATAACCCATGCTGCTCGACTTCATGATTGATCAGCAACTGTTAATGACTCTAAGGTTAAAAATCCAGAGGGACATCTGGTCATATATAGGATACACAGATACATTTTACAACAACTCAGAGGTGAATTGCTAATGAGCTACTGGAGCTCTGCAGAAGAAAAGCCCTTGAAAAGGACACCGTTTGTATGTCATCTATGTCATCTCCAAGCAGCTGAGCAGGGTTGCTGATGTTGAGGTATCTTGTCTGATTCTGAGTGCCACATTTCAGATACATCAAGCAGTCTACTCTCTTACAGTATCCAAGGCAAAGGATCATGTCTAGCCTTCTCCCAGATATGTTCTGCAGTGAAGTGTGCAGTAGCAGGACCCCCATGCAGCTGCTGCAGCAGTTCAGGCACCACAGATGTGGGGATTACAACCTGAACTTGCGGCGCTGCAGTGGAGGATGAGAGTACAGTTTGACACAGCCTTCCATCAATGACCGACAAGCGGCCAAACTCTGTCCAAAGTCACTTCAGGCAACCTGCTAAAAATCCAAAAAGATGTTTGATGGCTAGTACTATGGCTGGGATCCTGTATGTACTGTTGATGAAGTTAGGTGCTGTTCTGAGCATTATTTGTGGCTATAGAGTGGCGTTTTGGTTGAGGTTTGCACATGGAGGCATAGACCACTGTGTAATGGTATCATGCGGTCATTGCTGAAATTGGTATAACCAGAGAAGCAAGCAGTCATCAACATTCATCTCTCCAGGGGGCGTCTATCTTGGTGCTACGATGTCTTTGACCACAACTTAAATTTACGCCGGAGTGTCCCTTTAATTTGATGTTGATGTTTTGAAGTTGACTGACAGTAAGGCTGAGTCAGCATTTCCAATAAGGTGACAGTTATCAGTAGGCAGTAAGAATGGTTGAGCAGAGTCAGCCAATATTTCATGTCAAACAACTAGTTCCAAGACTTTATGAGAAAGAGGAAGTCAAACTGAGAATTAAAAATACCAAAACTGTAAGAGTGCATTCAAACATTCAGAGTGCTGGAGTATCCAGTGCTATCGGAACAGAGGTTAGTGGACAATGTAGCATTGCGTTGAAGCGTGTCCCTTTTTAATACGCAGATCCGTTCATGTTTATTCTCTAAAGTCACACAGTCAGAATCACAGTACTGAATCTGGCTCAGTTAATGGGTGTTTTGCTACTGCAGAGTATTAGGTTGCTCCCTGCACTCCAACTCCACCCATCAATGGAAAAGAATCATAAAAATTGGAAATGGTCTATGCAAGGCTACGTATCCGATGTTGATTATCTTCTCTGACAGGCTGGCTGGACAGGGAACTGTGAGGTTGGATCAGGGGCAGTGAGGGGGTGGAAGATGTCTGTCCTGTCGAACAGATGAGATACAGCACCATCAGGGTCTGTTTAAGAGGTAAATGAGGTGGTGGAGAGCTGTGCTGCAATCTTAACCCTTTCTATTTGCCCCATGGTATCCTCCTTTAATGCTTACCAGATGATGATGAAGATCAGGGAAGTGTAACTGAAGATTCTGACAGATAAATTTATGTTCAGATGGAACTAAATACTTCCTTGAACAGGGAAATCACTCCATTTTACAAGAAATGACCCCACAGAAAGATGGTTACTCCAGACACTCTTCTACCTCTGATGTATATCAAAGATCCCTTTAATATACAAAGATAACTTTAACATCAGGAAGACTGATCGTTCATCATAGTTTAATTAATACCTTTGCAGCTGGGTTAAACTTTGGATGATGGTCCCGTATCGTTGCACTTATAATACAGGGCAACACAATCTGAAGTTATACTCATAAAGACCCAGATGTTTTTTTTGTTTTTTTTTTACTATTGTAAGTGTTATCTGTTAAGTTGTGATTAGGAAATTTTTAGCCAAAATCACATTACCTGTGTCATTTACAAGGGATTTTCTTCTGCAGAGCTCCAGTAGTTTATTGGCAATTTGCTGTGGCGGAGTTGTGGGCGGAGACAGCACTGCTGCTCTGCACCCTCCTCTTCATGCGATCTTGCAGCCTAATATTTCATCCACTATTGGCTGACTTTTCTTTTTATTGCTGTGTCCAGAGATGGTACTTACTCCTCTCCACACCCCGTGGATGTTGCTATGTTGTAAATTCCTCTCTATCTTCTTTTTTTTATTCCAGATTTGCCATCTTCAGTCTCCTCTTCAACTCCTGTTGCACTTGTTTGAGTTGTTCTTTGTCACTGTCTCTAAAAGCTGTCTTTTTCTGGTTGAGGAGTGTCTTATGTCACTTGCGATCCAGGGTTTGTTGTTGGAAAACAGTGAACAGTCTCTGTAGGTATAATCAATCAATTAATCAAACTTTATTTATAAAGCAAAGTGCTGTCCATTCAAGTAGGATATTAAAAACAATAAAACAAAATAAAATGAATACAAATACAGAAACCCACCCATCCACCCAACACTGGTTCACCTTGATTTCTGCAGTAAAATCCTAAATGCATCATTGCAAGCTACATTTAGCTTCTGTAAGATTGCCATTTTATACCTCATCCACAGGGGGGCAGTATAAAGAGGGGTACAATATGTCCTGAAGAGAGTTATCCTAACATTGTCAGAACACTGCCCAAGATATTTGATTTTTTTGTAAGAATACGCCTTTTCTCCAAAAGATGAAACTTTGGGAAGTTGAGGTCTTTATCTCCTTTACATCTATGAATCATTACTGTACTCTTTCTGTCATTGTATTGCACATTGTACTAACCCCATAATCTGAACAAATATTCAGCAGCTGCTGAAACCCAGCACTGCTAGGGGGAAAAATGGCCAGATCATCAGTATACATGAGATGGTTAATTGATTTGTTTCCTAACACACAACTGGTTTTACAGCCATTCAGTTGTTGAGATAACCCGTTCATGTGTAAGTTAAAGAGCACAGGAGAAAGCAATCCCCCCTGTCTTACCCAATTACTAACACCAAAAGGGGATGACATTGTGTCTCCCCATTTAACTTGCAAGCCAAAATTCTTACAATATAATCAGGCACTCCCATTGCAGATAATTTTATAAACAACTTCTTATGATTGACTCGATCAAACGTTTTCGATGCATCAATAAAACCTACAATCACAGATGAATTATTCCTTCTATATACATCAACAGACTCCCTTTAAAGCATAAATACAAAAATCAGTACCATGCTTTGCTTTAAAGCCAAATTGATTATCAGAAGAATCAATATATTTAGAAATGCACCCTAAGAGAACCCTCTCCAGGACCTCAGATACCACATTAGCAAGCGCAATGGGCCGGTAGTTGTAATTTGATCAGTGCCACTAGCTTTATTATCATTGAGATGTAATATCGCCTGATCGACTTCAGTGGCGGTGAATCTATCGATATAACTACCAGAAATTGTTCCCATTAAAAAGGGGTCACCTTTCGCAAAGTTAAATAAATCATGATAGTATTGTCTCCATAACTCAGTAATATTATCAGCTCCAGAAACTCCCTCTGTTGTACACGGTAAAACGGCTGTTCCCTTATTTAGAGCTCTTCCATCTTTTCAGAAGTCTAGGGCATTATTACTTCTCATAGCCAGACTAACAAACCTAAACAAAGTGTCATGGTATTTGTTCTGGTGTCTTTTTGAATGCAAGAATAACATAAACATGCAAAGAGCAGTGAAGCATTCAAATGCCCTCTTAAATCCTACAGAAATGACCAATCTTATCATGGTTAATCTCATTTCACTGTGGAGGTCAGAGGTTGGCTCCGGTAGTGATGGGCACGGCAGTTCTTTTAGATGTACTGAACCACTAGAATCAGTTCACTGAAAATATTTGTTCAAAAGATTCGTTCATTGAATCACCGAATCATTCGGCGCTTGGCGGGAGCAGTGTGTGACTCCGACTTCCTGACCTGATACACAGCTGAACGGTTCAGGATTCAGTTCAGTTCATAGCTTCTGAGACCAGGAGACAAGAGTGTTGTGGCTGTGTTATAAACTCATTTATACATCATGATGTTTTAAGTGTACTGTCCTATTGTATGGTTTCAGTTTCTCATTTTTATTTAATCCCTTGTGGTAAAATAAATAGAGATGAAATGGACAGTATATACCGATGTTTCCTGTAAATGTTTTTCTAAAAAATAAAATATTGATATCAGGCTAAAACTATCATATGGTAACACCATCACTTAATAGAAGTAGTCCTAATCAGTGGTTATCAAACATTTTAAAACAGAGCATAGACAAAGAAGAAGTAGAAGACAACTAGCCAGCTAGCTGAAGCAACCCTCTGAGAGATGACTCAGCACATTTAAAAAATGATGTTAATGATTTTTGTGAGAATCCAAAAACGCTGTTAGTGTAAGTGTCTCGAAAGGCAACTTATCACCTGAACATTTAAACTGTCAGACTCTTCTTATTCAGTTCTGTAATGTACGAGCTAACAGAAGCCGTACATTTCAAAATAAAAGCATCACAGAAAAGACACTTCTTTTACAGATAGAATGCAGAAATAAAAAATCAGCAACCAGCGTATTGCTCATGTGTACAGGAACATGAATGACTTTGGTTACTTTGTGTTTGTTCAATCCTGGCCCTGAACGTTCTAAAAACCAGAATGAGGTTCATCCTTCTGGATGGTTCACCCATTTCAGGGAAATCCGGGTTTCTTTACATCTCCTATACACTGACTCACACAGATCTCAGTGTGATCTACAATATTAATTCATCAGCAGCTGTGTTTGTCTGGACACAGGGTGCTAGGTGATATTAGCTGTGACTGATCAGCACCACATGTGGATCCTTACCCTGGAGATTTACTGTCAGAGCTGAGCCGTGCCAAAGATCAGTCCTCAGATTCCAGTATTTTCCAGGACCGCTGCTCCAGACATCCAAAACCTTTCAATACTGAGTGACTTATGGAGAGGGCTGGAAACAAAGTCCTCCAGTTTCAGTTGCATTCAGGAAAACGCTGATTAGATCCTGAGCTAGAAGGGGTTTTTTCAGCTCTGTGACCGAACTTTAAATCTAGTCTCTCCCTCCGTCTCTACGGTTGATCTTGTTGGCTCAGATCCAGTAATGTGCTCCACTCCCTGATGTTCCCCATGAGTAATCATCACTCAGCACAATAGATCCAACAACCCTAATTTGTGTCTTTCCTGTTTTGCTTTTACCTTTTCCCAGAGTGGACTCTGATTCATGTCTTCCTAGCTGGCACTGTGCACCTATACCACCCTCACAGGGCTCTCTGTGCTCACACTGCTGGGACACAGAGGTTTCAGAAGGAGCCTGCAGAGGAAGAGATTGATTGCTTCCTCTGTTGAGATTCCTTGCCAATATTCAGACGTAGAAGGTAAAGTTTTACAGGAATTCCCCGTATATTTGTCCTCTGTTTGCAGAAGATCGCAGCAAGTGTTAAGAGTTTATTGTTTGGGCTTCAGCTGACCTAAACCCACAGGGACTCTTTGTGTCGTGGTTCAAACAGGAGGTACATTTCCTCTCCTTTCTGCAGCCACAAGTGTCTGGAATCTAACGGTTAAACACACTTTATTGTCACACATGCCCTGAAGTCGGCAGTCATCATTTTCTGTGTCCAGGTTTTGAGATAACTGAGATTCTGCTTTATCCCAAATCTCTGAAAACTCAACATAATTTTCTTCTTTGGAGCAGTTTTGGGCTGAGGAAGCTGACAGAGAAGCAACAATGGAAAAATTCATTAGAAAACTATCTGCATGACTGAAATAACAGTTTTTTCTTCAGTAAATTAATGTAGCTTCTAACTCTGACTCTGACATGCTGCGGTCAGTTAACCCCTTTGCTGCTGTGGCACATGTTGCATTAATCTGACTGGTTGTAGGTCTAAGGAGTTGCCTTTAGCTTTACTGTTGCTTATGTCCCCAATACATACGCAGCCACCAAGACAACAGTGCAGAATCAGGAGAGGAAGGGTAAATGTGATCGATGTAAGTGACATATTTGAGACTCTCATTGCTCGTGTGAATGATGAATTGTCTTCTGTTGCTAACTGGTTCCTGACTAATAAGCTAACTCTTAATATAAAAAAATGTAACGTCATGATCTTTGGCAACAAAAACAAATCTTATCCAAAAGATGAAGCCAAAATATCAATTAATGGTACTGAAATCTCTCAAGTACCCCACACCACGTTTTTGGGTGTTGTTGTCGTTGATGAGGGTCTAAAGTGGAACATTCATATCAGCCAAGTTTGCAAAAGGTCAATGAAGAGCCTCGGTATGATTAATAAGGTCTGTCCCCTGATCAATCCCTCTGCTCATTTGTCTTTGTATTACAGCTTTCTATTTCCATACATGAACTATTGTAATATTGTATGATGTGCAACGCATCAACTTACCTCAAGAAAATATTAATAATCCAGAAAAGATTCTAATGAATATCACGATCCAGCAAACACGAACCTTCAGCACCTCTCTTTTCTAAATATTCCATCTTACCGATTTACAAACTCAATGTCTTTCACTCTTGTTTGTTTGTCCACAAATAACAATAACAAACAAGCCCTTCCTGAAACTTTCCGAAACTTTTTTACCTTTTCATCCGACCTTCACTCGTACTCAACAAGACAAAAATGGCCATCTTCAGTTACCTTCATGTCGAACTTCTAGTCATCAGTCTAGCATCACTTTTAGAGGTCCGAAACTGGAATAGTCTGGATGCATCTCTAAAATCAATATCATCCCTTAACTCCTTTAAAATATTAAAATCTCAACTAATCATGTCTTAAATACATCATTATTTGTTATGATCGTGTTTCGTTCCTTTTTATGAATACTTATATTGTCTTTATCACTGTTTGATGATTAGTTTGTGTTCCATTTATGGCAATTTGTATCTGTTTGACCTTTCCCTCATCATTGTATATGTGTAACCCGTCTATGTCCGAGTTACTTAGTTGTCTGCACCTTATGCTTTCTCTATAAGCCTATCAGCTTCATTCCCTCCTTGCACTGTTTTTAATCTGTGCTAAATAAATAAATACAAATACAAATATTCATGTTAGGAACATGTCCGACAGCCCATTATCTTACAATCAAGCACAGCTGATGTTAGAGTTCAGAAACAAGCAAAATTGTCACTTTAAAGATGGCGGCTTTGAAAGAGCCAGTGTTTATGTTTATGTTATGATGTGTTTTTCACTCCGATATAAAGGTCTTTCAGACTCTGAACTGTTTCACTGTGACCCCAAAGCCTTTTGACATGGCATTAAAGAAAAAACAACAATCAAGTCACAGAGACATGTCTGTAAAAATAAATGTATTTTCAAAGTAGATTACAACATGTAAAGGAACAAGGAAACAGCGTGGTGTCTTTCAGATACTTCCTGCTACACACACACACACACACACACACACACACACCAGCTTTCTGTGAACAGGGTGCTCAGTCTCCTCAGTCTTCTCTCATGATACTCCTGTAACTTCTCTGACATGATCAAAATTAGTTCAGCAAAACCAGCTCCTGTTTCTTCTCTTCGGTGGTTTCAGTTCTGTTGTTTGTTCACATCAGTCACTGTAGTCGTTTAGGCTCGTGGTCAAAATCTTCCGGTTTTTCACCAACAGCTCCAGAAGTTCAATAGGAAGGCCTCTCCTCAGCGGGTGCACGGCACAATGAACATTGTTTGAAACCTATGAAGCAACAACTGACGTTTCTTGAAATAAAGACCTCCAACATTGTGGCGTTACAGAAGAATACAGACTTTGAGGGAGTTTTGCTCATCAGTTTCTTACTCAGAGTGGTTACAGAGCTGCAAATGTCTTTACAAACTTTAACATTTCAGTGGAGCAATTGGCAGAAAAAACAGACTTGGTAGAAATGGAATATAGTGTGTGTTTATAAAATTAACACCAGTTTACTTGTCAATTTGAAGATAGTGTTAGTTCAGGCAGGCCAAGAAAGTCAAGCTAAGCCCGCAGTCAACATCTGACCCTAATGCCAGCCCCATCAGCTGACAGCTGAGTCCCCTGCACAACAAAATTAGCCTTTAGTTTAATGCGCTTTAGCATGTAGACTTAGGGCTAAAACATACAGGGTCTGCATTGAGCGCGTATCGTCAGCTCTGCATGTTACACAGCTAATAGGTTCCCATTCTAATCAATGCAGCATCACATACAGGACGCATATCAGCTCCGTCGCATCGAGCGCCGCTTTGTTGAAGAAACGCCCCAAGTCTATTTTTTCTGCTCTACGCTTCCAACACGTCAATCTACACAAGCACGAAAACCGCGCATGTCATCTGGTATTTCAAAATAAAACACCATATGTGGATTCCCGACTGTGTATCAGCTTGTGTAGATGAGAAATACTTCCTGGTTCTGGATTTATCAGTAACACAGAACATTCCGATGGTCAATCCCAGCAGGACTTTGAACTGCTAACTCCGTCTGAAGGTAACAGCACAGCATAAAGGAACATAGTTTACTTTATTAAACACGAGTAAACCTGCAAAAACCGAAACTGTAAAATCATGTTGCTTTTTCAAATATAGTAGAGGCTCATCGGTCACTGAATTATATCCAAATTAGCAGGAAGAAGACCACAGAAAGAAAGAACAACCTGTTGTTAGCACGCGCTCAATACGGATCCTGTATGTTTTGGGCTTTACGCTGCTTCCTCAGCCTGTGACTGACCTGACTAGTTTCATATGTGCAGTCACAGACACATGCTCTGTTCTGCACACTTTGGGTCTTTGCTGCTGCTCCTCCTACCTTGGCTTTTCATGTATGCACACAAAACAGGAGGTGTGCTCTCCCCGCTGCAGGTTTGAAGACAAAGAAAAACATTTTGTATTTATAGAAGTTTTCAATAGTAGAAACTTGAGGATCATTCTCATCACGCAGAACAGGCCAAATCATTTCACCAACAGCACTTTAAGACACATTATTTGGAGCAGATCTGCTGAATTTTTGTCCATAATTATCATTAAGTACAAATAAGAATATGTTGATATTTTTCTACCCCTGAACTTGAAGAAGGCTGGACCGTGTTCTTCCATGTGCCAGGGACACACAGAGAGCTCTGTTGTGTATTTAAGAGTAATGTCACTGAAGAGCCAGACTCCCAAGAACATCCGGGCAAATGGCAAAGTGTCTGGAGGAGCAGAGATGCTTCTAGATTTCAAGGTATGGTCAGTGAAGGCCTCTTTGAGAAATCGATCCCACTCGACTCCACGGTTTCATCACCGGCTTATTTGTCTGCCGTGCATTTTGGCACAGGCTTTTCTGTCGTGTGAACTGTGCTGCCCCTGTGAACAAAGAGAGAAGTCACTGTTACCACAAACCTATAGGAAACATATTAAACATAGGTTTGCATGATACAATTGACTAGAAATACAGACGTAGTGCAGGAACACAGTTTACCAGCACAGACGAAAACACTGTTTTCCTTTAAAGGATATCTCCATGCATGCACTCAATGATATGGCATCTATAAATAAACTAAATCCCCACTCAGAGACTTGAACTTCAGCATAGACTAAGATCCGTGCAGTTTGTTGACCCTGTTGTGTCGCGTGACCTTCAGTTTAAGCAGAACAGATTCATTTCAGCTCAAATACTTGACCCGCAGAAAAAGTCTAGCAAATCATCCTACATTCACTGTTTTCTCTCACATAAAGAGGCTGTTAATGATCGAGAAATGCCCAAAATGCTGAGGATAGAATAGAAATAAAGATTAAAATCCTGCTAAGGAAAAAAAACTTCAGTTACAGGCTGAGAGCAAAATCACAGCTACCAGGCAGCTGAATCCTGCTGTGAACAGAAGAACCTCAATGCAGAACACATACATGAATCAGTTACTGAGATTTTTTAGTTTTTTTTTTTTTTTTAGGGTAGTGGATAAATGGAAAGCTAAATGGTTCACACCCTTAATGATGCACACACCAATCAGAGTTGACCGTGGGCTACTTGAAACAGCTTTGCCAGTTATGCCTGCTGAAGTAGTCTTGGATGAGCACTTCCAAAACATACAAATGATGATGTTTCATATTTTCCCTGATGTGAAATTGGCGCCTATAATTTCGGATTGGAGTTTTGTGTGACATCAATTAATCAATCATATTTTATTTATATAGCGCCAATTCACAACAGTCGTCATCCCAAGACACTTTTCAAAGAACAACCCACTGAGCAATAGACAGCTATTAGACGTCTAATTATTTTTTAGACCTAATTTCAACCGTCCAGATGCTGTATATTTTTTGACAGAATTTAGACGTTGCACTTGAACCCATTAGTGGATAAGTATTTATATCAAAAAGCAACTGTGAGTTGGATAACTGATCTCCAAGTACTTCACCAAAATAATAATGATAGTCGTTGAGCAAAATACAGTGTAGTACAGATATAGCCCAGATTTAGACTTGGTCCAAACTTTTGGATTTTACTTGGATTTTAGACCGGTTGTCTAGGTTACATTTAGACGTCTATTAGACCTCTTTTAGACCAAAAAATGCTCAGAGGGAAGAGCAGGTCTAGACCACGCTCATTGTTTGATTAATTAGAACCAACCTAAGATGGGTTTTGGCTCATCTTATCTAACATGATTAACAGTGGCAAGGAAAAACTTCCTTTTAACAGGCAGAAACCTTGAGCAGGACCAGACTTATGCCAGACAGCCACCATGCTGCTGCTGGGTTGGGGACCCACTGAATAGACATCTAAATGTAGCCTAGACGACTGGTCTAGTCTAAATTTAGACCAAATTTAGACTAGCCAGCTAACAGAGGTCTAACTGCCCACTGAGCAATAGATGGCTGTTAGACATCTAGTTATTTTTTAGACCCAATTTCAACCGTCTAGATTCTGTATATATTAACCCGCTATTCGATAAGTATTTATTTCAAAAAGCAAAATAATTATGATAGCCGTTGAGCAAAATACTGGTAGACCTCTGTTAGCTGTCTGAACTCAGTCTAAATTTAGACATCTTAAAACTTTAATTTTTGGACCTGTGGTAGCCTGATTTTAGACTACATTTAGACGTCTATTAGTCCTCTTTTAGACCAATATTTCTCAACGGCTATCATAATTATTTTGGCTAAGTACTTAGAGATCAGTTCTGCTACTTACAGCTGCTTTTTGAAATAAATAGTTATTGAATAATGGGTTAAAGTGAAACGTCTAAATTGCGTCTCGACGGTTGAAATAAGGTCGAAAAAAAAAACTAGACGTCTGATAACCGTCTGTTGCTCAGTGGGGAGGAATGTAGAAATTCTGGAAACGATATCGGGCGTTTAAATTGTATTTTTTTTACCCCTTTCCGCTGGTTGCTGAGGCAGAAAGTGCAGATAGTCCGGGGCTGTTTGCCTTCTCCTCGTCCCTTCACCTCCTTGTAGACTGCAGCGACGCACGGCGGGCCATCCTCCCCTCCGTCTCCGACCACAAGCACGTTGGCCAAGTGTGAGATGTAGCTGGATGCGAGGCGCAGCGTCTCGATCTTAGAGAGTTTTCTGTCCACCGGCTCCGTGGGGATGAGTGTCCGCAGCGCCGTGAAGGCCGTGTTGACGTTCTGGGTCCGGTATCTCTCCCGGGCGTTTGCTGCGTTCCGCTGCCTCACCACTACTCCACCGGACCCCTGCCGGTAACCCTCCCCCGGAGTCCCGCAGCAGCCGTAGCCCTGGTCGGTGCTGCCGTCGCTCTCGCTGCGGTTCCCCTCCTCGTCGTCCGAAACGTTCAGGTCCGCAGAGTAGGAGAAGGGATGCATGGACACCGGCCTCAGCATAGTGAAAGCCATCATCACAGGAGAAAACCAGTCCCTTTTTTAGCCTGATAGAAAACAGCTGCATGCGCGTTAAAGTCACTGTAACTCCAAGCTTCAGCCAGCAGAAGTCCCCTCGTCTGCTGAGACTCTTGTCCACAGACTGGTCCAGTCAGAGTGACGGTCCTCAAGGCAGGGAGGACTCTTATAGCAGCTACTGTAGCAACGAGGGGAGGGGTGGACACAAACACGAGCTGTCAGCCTCCCAAATGTGTTGGTCTTAAAAGTTTGGATCATTGTGGACACTTTAATGGCCCTCACCAAACCGAGTTTTTATGAGCTCAGAGGGGATAGGTTCATTTCCTTCAAAGACAGCTTCTGATCAAAGACAATAATGACTTAGGACATGCATCTTTGAGTGCGTTGGAGTGTGAATAGTTGATTTTGTGACAGTAGAAAACTGTTAGGATGAGTTTCTTTAGCCAGTCATGTCAGCCTTTAGAGTGGTGGAGCTGTGTCACTCAAATACCTCAGATACTTCAGTGTTTGACAACCATCCTCAACAAGGACCTCGTACCCATCTACCCATCACATCACCTTGTACCTTTGTCCCCTAAATATGTTCTGTCATGGTATTTCCTTCTATGGACCCTCCAAATATTCACCTAAAGCTCCTTAAAATATGTTGTTCTTTGTTCGTCAAAATGATCATTCGTGTGGACCTTCCATTTTTTATAGCGTGAACATGGGTTAGGCATCCTTACACAAACTAATACATTTTAATTAGAACTAACCATGGTATCACAAGACTAAAGCGTGGAGAGGTTTAGTAGCTGTCACTTTCACGGCTAAGCATGTTATATCCCACTCAAGTTCAGGTTTGAAACGAACTTTTGTAAATGAGGGACTAAGGCAGTGACAGAAGTGACACCAAGACCGGCCCTGTTATGGTCCCTACAATCAGAGTGAAATAAAACCACTAAAACACGTTTAAACATCAAAACAAACTGCTGACCGCTTAATTACCAACAAGGGGAATAACCAATGATTTTGCTGGTGCTGAGAGAAATCCTAAAAAAGAGAAACAAGCAAACAAAAAGAGAGAGAGACAGAAAGAAAGAAAACATCTTAATTAGTATTTGTTAGAGATAAAAGTTATTTAATGCATGGCACCAATAACAGGCCGCTTGTAAACAGGAAGTTTCCTTAATAAAAATGCCCCCTCCTTTATATGCTTCATATTGGAACGCTCCCCTTCAATTGGAAGAAAACTAATAAACTCTTCTTCCTCAAACTTTTTAAGAGCTGAATGGGTCCCATGTGCAGCATCTCTGCCTCGGTTTATTTGTTTTTACATAAGAGCTGTTAGGTTGGCACTTATGCATAATCAATATGACAGCAAACTGCTGGGAGCTACTTTTGGAAATTGTGATCAGTCCTCCACAGTAACATGTATAGATTTACATTACCTGCTCATGAGGTGAATGAAGCCAAAAAAATTGGACTATGGTTTCTTATATATATATTTTTAAGTCAAAAAGAAAACATCTCTAAAAGGTTCAACTGCTCCTCCCTCCGATCACTTTCTAAAAGACACACCCTGGATTACCTCAGATTTTGACTTGTGCTGCCTGGGCGATGTAAGACCGAGGTATCATGTTGTTTGGCAGACAGGAGAGTACAACTCTAAATGAAAACATGAAGCAGCTCACCACCCATGGTCAACCTGCTCTTCTATGAAAGAGGATTAATGAGGGACCGATGTCTCTTTGATTCTTGCTCTGCCTGTCTGCACTTGTTCTGCAGAAAAAAAGGGGGTAAATAAATCAATAAAATGAATCCAGTATTATAGTAGGCAATAAACAATACCAACAGAGAGTACTTTTACTCCGGTACTTCAGGAAATACTCACTGTAGAGAATCTGAATATGTTTTCTCCTCACTGTGAACTATATATGATGTAAGCTTGTATCTCATCCTGTGAGATATTTCAGTAAGAGGACATTTACCATCATTAGAGTCATTTAGTGATCAGTCTGACAGTGTTTTTAGGATGCATTATTGTCTAAAGGCACCTTCGTCACAGATGCATGTATACTGACACAGTATGTTAGCAGATTATGTGATAATAGTGCTGGCCCTCGTCCTCTGTGGGTCAGTGTGATCTGTGGCTCTGTATTTGCCCTGTCTCCCTCGGTCTGATAGCTGAGGTGCTGTGGGTAAATAAACACCCAGCAGATGCTGGAGGTGATCAGGCCTGAACTTTCCCTGTGGAAAGCAAACAAATGGCTTCCAGATTGACTGGTGCTTGTGAGTGAGGGAGGGGCTGCTGGAAAGGAGAGAGTGTCATCAAAGGGTCTGTTTTTACAAACACAACCCCTTGACACATCACACTGGGTCCCTGGCGGCCCCTGGCCCCCAGCTCAGCTGCACCAACAACATTGACCCATGTGGAACCTGGTTCAGCTCATAAAGCGGGACACCATGGTGTTTTACCACGCGTGGCCAACCAGCAACACGACCCCGCCGCACTCTCTCTCCCCGCACCAGCGGCGCTTCACAGTTTGGAACCGTAAATACTTTAACCCCCCAACCTCTTGCCCCCATGCATCAACCTAAAGGAATGCCTTTAAATTCCTGTTGAGGTGCTTCAAGTGCTGATGAAGTGTGTTGGACTGAATGAGTTTTGAAGATTATAGCACAGATTAAGACGTGACTGAAAAGCGGTATGAAAAATGGCGTTGGATGTTTAACATCTCTAAAAGGTGTGCAGAGGCTGTGGAAGGAAATTGAGCTGAGAACCTGCAAAAGAACGGGTCCCTCAGTGCTTTTCTCTTGTTGTGAAGAATATTTACAATGGACCTGCACAAGCTCAACGTTTCTGGAAACCAATGAAGCTGTTTTTTTTTCAGCTATAGAGTTTGAAATGATCTAACATAAAGTGAGTTTTTCTTTCGTAATGTTTTAACATAAGGTGACCAGACGTCCTGATTTCCGGGGACAGTCCACGTATCGGATGCTAAAGCTGTCCCTGGAAATGCCCCAGATTAAAGTGTTTCTTGAATGAGAACAAAAATGTTGCATGTAGACTAGAACAACAGTTATTACGGTGGTGGGACACACGAGCAAGCATGTTGCGCGCAGTCCCAAACAACAGTTTTTATGGAGGTTATTACCTAAGTTGTACCGAGATGTTGTCTGTGATCATGCAGCCGATGCAAAAAGTACAACAGAGGAATAAAAGCAAAAATATAACATAACAAGAAAACAGAAGAAGACAGAAGAATATGATAAAACATGGACTAAAATCTCTTTAAAACAGTGCAACGACTCATACGGTGTTAAAGACCGTGGTAAAAAGATGTGTTTTTAAAAGAGATTTGAAAACAGGAACAGAGGAGGCCTCGCTAATATTGAACCGCAGCTCGTTCCACATCTTTCGAGTCACTACACAAAAAGCCAGATCACCTCTGAGCTTCCTCTTGAGGGGCGTTCACACCAAGCGTGAGTAACATCATTTGCGTCAACATCACCTACTTTTCATTAATAAATTCACCTCATTAATCTGCTCATCTGTCTGCCTTTTCCTGAATTTCAAAAGGACATTTGTATTGCTTCATCCACCATAGGGAAATATTCTGGGTTTCAAGTTCAGCAAAACATCAAGTGGCAGATTCACACAATAATTAAATCTACAGTTATAGATAAGACTCAGCCTGCAGTCACAGACTTATGTATCATCAGATTTGTTTGATTATGTTGTCATGTTACATATTGTCATGTAGAATATCATCAAGGCTAGGGCGCTTTCACTTCAACCCAGTTAATCATGTCTTTGTTATTTAGCTGAGCATTTGTTTGTTTTATTTGTTGTAGGTATTTTGCCACTGGTGATTTGTACAGCAGCTTCGGGGTCAGCATCTCAGTGGTCAACAAAATGATGTTGTCACCACAATCTGTGACTGCCTTGTGGAGGAGCTTATGGCACACATGGTTGGTATTGATGGGAGACGATGATCACATCACAGAGAAGGTTTTCTACTGGAGAGGATTTTAATCTTTTCACATCAGACTTCATGGCTTCTGAAGTCAGAAATACTCACTGCATTGTTACCAGCAAACTTGAAATGGTCAGTTATGGTTTACAGTCGTCACACTGAAATTCACTTCTAGTAAAACTATTTGGGCTTTTTTTCTAACAGCCTGAAAACCACCAAGCGACAGAAAGCCGATATGCATTTTATATAAGAAAACCAAAGTATTTCACTGAAACTGTGATCCATGTTCAAACAGAACAAGATATGAACCAGATCTCCAGATGTGAGATAAGATACAAACAGTCAGGCTTTCCAACATTCAGAAGTATTCCACTCTCGTCTCACCCCCAACAGCCCTGTGTGGAGTGACAGATGATGACTGCACAGTCCGTCAGTGTTAGCTGTCTGCTGGGAAAAAAGTGTGTTCAGATAACTTGACTCATCGGAAACAGCTGCTCTGGAGAGAAAGGAGCCTCCTCCAGCTGCAGCCTGCTGCACTCGACCTTTTATGAGCTCTTTAATTGTGTGTGTGTGTGCAAGCGTGTGTGTGTGTGTGTGTGTGTGTGTGCGCGCGTGCTTCATTAGATGCACAAGAGAGACAGGAGTGACACGAGAGAGCAAATGGGTGGAGTGCACTCATGAGGGTGTAGATTGGAAAGTTGAAATAGGAGCACATGAGAACAGCATCAGGATTTTTTTTACAATAGTATGTGAGGGTGTTAAAAAAAAAAGAGGCGTGTTGTAAATGATGCTGAGTAACAGGTTGATCGAAACTGACGTGACTAAAGTCCTATCTCAGAGGGATCGTATTTGGCGTTCTCTACACACGCCATGTTTGGTAATCGGGCCTAAACATAATCCACTGACTTAAAACTCACAGAACTTCAGCTTTTACACTCAGTAAGTCATCGATTAGTTTGTTACTTTTACAAATTTAATGAAATAAAACTAGATTCCTTAAAAATGGCGTTGTGATCTCATGCAGAGCAAAGCTTCTGTAACCCCAGGATGGTAGCAGCAGCGCTGTTGTCTCACATTTAACCCTTCCGGTGACCTCCTGATAACACTAAACTAGCTGTCATGCTGATCTGCTTTCACCCCTCTTTCTCCCCCCTGAGAGGCGCTGATCCTCTTTCACAGCATCTGACACTTTGAGCAACCAGGACAGGTGTGCTGCTGTGTCACTAAAAGTTCAACAAATGGCCTCAGCTACATCATCTTCCTGTCTCACTCTCATTTAAAGTTTCACTGGACAGTTTCTCCTGAAAATGTCAAGCTGTCTTTTCATATGAGTTGAAATCCCGCCGGGGGATAGTCCTGAACGCCTTCGTTTTACGGAGGATATTTTCTTTGGTTGAACTTTGGGGTAACAGCAGAGCGAAAGTAAAGACCCTGAGGCTGCTTTATGGGGCTGATATCTAAAGAAGCAGGTGTTTCTTAATCCGAGAGCTGATTAACTATTGTGTCATCATCTCCCATGGGGTCTCTGAAGGCCCCAAAAACAGGCAGAACATCAGTTCAACCCCTGCAATACAGGAAGTTGACTCACACGCGATGATTCTTCTCGAGGAGCCCAGTGCTCCCTTTAATGTCTGACAGGCCGAGCTCAACGTTCCTCCAGCCCACGTCTGTCGGCTTCCTCAAGTGTCACCTGGGACCTCTGAGACAAGGCCTCAGCGGGTCAGCAGAGTTTATCGCAGCAGAGGCATCTACAAGACGGCTATAAAAGCTTGTCTGACATGATGTAACAGACGAGGCCTGAGATCTGATCAAGGCAGCTATAAAAAGACTCATCCGGTTTGGTCTCAGGGTCATTGGGCCTGCTCTCAACACGGGGTCATATCCTCCGTGTTGATTGGCAAGCAGCGTTGACCTGTCGTCATGCTCTGCGTCTTTTGTCTATAGAGGAAGTTTCGTGTTTGCACACATGTACAGTAGAGAGTGATCGCCTGTTTTTATGATGATATCCTTCTCAGTGTCTGACAATAGAGCCTTAAGGGGTCAAGTGGGCCAACTATTTCTCTGCGACACTTTGTTGAATAACAATATGTAGGTCGAGGCACGGCTGAGGAAAACTTTTCCAACACTGAACTCCCCACATTCAGGTTAATTCAGGTTATTTTTCACAGAATAATTTTGAAACTGAATGAAAGGTCGATTAAATGAAAGAATAAACTGACACCTAAAAAAAAGACTGTCTGGAGTATTAAACCAGGCTTGCAAACTTTCATGCCAAATAAACATTTACTTTAGCATAGAAAGGCACCTGATCGTATTGAGAGGGCACTTTTTTAAACCTTAATTTAAGTGGAAGGGGCGCCTTTCCGATGCTAACCTTAAGGCATGTTTTAAGGTCATATGTGCTGGATGTGACCCCAAAAGGCCCTTTTTATGTTTTAGATACTGAAAGGCAGTGTTTTAGTTCTCGAGTCCAGGACTTGAGTCTGACTTGAGTCCGGATATGCCGGACTTGTGACTCAAGTCGGACTCAGATTTGGACTGGTATAAGGTCCTAATAACAGATCAGTCTTGTTTACCTGCATGCACGTTCACACGCCGTCTCATTCAATAACTGTGCACGGCAAAATGTCAAAGGTGGAACCATGGGTTGTGTGGTTTGCTTTCAAGGATTTGACCACAAACGCTGGTAAATGTAGAGCAACATGTTCATTGTGTGTCCTGATAACTTAAAATCCCCCCAAAAAGTTTAAGGATCGGCTAAAGTACCTTGCAATATTTGCAGTAGTGACATTTCTGCACACATATCAGTGACTGCATGTTTTGCAACTTCACATGTAATTTTTTTAAATGTTAAATAGTGTGATTTGTACTTTTCTCTCACATACTGTTGTAACGATTCACATTTTTAGTTTTTATGAGAAAGATTATTTGAGACAGTCTGCCATCAGTGACTTTAAATGTGCATTCAACCGGACCTGGACCCAACTCAGGGGAAGAGGACTTGACTCGGACCTTCTCTTTGGTGACTTGGACTTGACCCAGTGTTTTTTTTTTGATGACCCGGACTCGACTTGGACCTGACCACTGAGGACTTGAGACTCAACTCGGACTCGAGCTTTGGTGACTCGACTACAACAATGCGGGAAGGACATCTAGAGGACATCTGGTTTGTGTTAGGAGACTGCTGCCAAATCAATCTTTACTGTATATTTCACAGAAAAGCACCAGAAGACATTTTTACTGTTTACTTCAGGAGCATCCAAAAGGGGGCACTGCCACAGTGATGTTTCAGATATGAGGGCACCAGACAGCCAAGGACCCCATCACACCACCATGTCTCAGCTACCTCTATGGCCTTCTTAAAATGAGCTAATTTAGCTGTTATTGCTCAAAGTGAAAAAAAACTTTGACCTCCATCCAGCGCAGTACATTTGTACATTTTCACAGGTCTTTTTAAAGCCTTTGATGAATCCTTCATCCCGTGTGATCTTGCATGGTGACTTAGTTGTTGTAGAGTGACCAGTCTGCAGAGACTCATGTTTTCCTCTTGTCTTGTTAAAGTGCCAGCCCCTGGGCAAAATACTGTAACACAGGAGAATACCTCCAGTACTGGTCAATATCTTGGTCATATTAGAAGCCTCTCTTTTTAGATGACTGGAAAGACATTGAAGCACATAAACAAGGCAGTGGCTTTATGAAAACAGATCCACACGTCGTGCACACTGACTTCCTGCTTTTGTGTTTGAACAGACAATACATCAGCTACCAGGAACCTCAAACGTATCAAGAGTGGAGAGTCAAAAGTTTATGACAACAACAACAACAGCAGCCAATGAGTGGAGGAGATATTCAAAATGAACCTAAACCTGGTCACAATGTGAAGAGATAATTCAATTTTTCAAAGCTTGGTGGTATTTAGTGTTTTAAACATTTGAAACTATTATCTTCACTGCTGTTACACTGCAGACAAAGTGAACACAAAGTATGGACAGACAACTCTGTCCAAGTACGTATTTAACACAGATCATTAACCAGCCCTAAGAGGTTTAGAGGGTCGTCCACCAATATGATCAGGTTTGAGGTTTTAATATTGGCCCCTTTACTCCACATATTAGTGGATCTTTGACACTACAGTGAGTAAATGAGTCCTGACTTCAAAAGAATTGTAAAGTATGGAAGCGTACTGCATTCACTTACAAAGGGGAAAAAAAGGAAACTGTTTATTTTGAGTTTTTTCTTCAATTGCTGTTTTCGGACCAATTTTTTTCTTCTTTTTGTTTTTCTGACTGTTTCGTTCTTTTTTTTTTTTACTAATATTTTTTCCTCTTTCTGTTTTATGGATATATATATATAAAATTGTGTTTTTTATGCTCATGATCCCAGAGAATAGGAAAAAAAATGAACTCTGAAAAAAAAGTCAAAAGTCAAAAAAACAGAAAAATTGGTCAAAAAAAAAATACTCTAAAAAACAGAAAAAAATTACTCAGAAAAACTGAAAAAAATTACTCCGCAAAACAGAGTTGTTTTTTTTTATTGGTGAATGCAATACACCTCTGTCGAAAAGGGAAAGTGTCCATCACTGTTAGATTGTTGGAGGTTATTTTAATCAATAAAAAAAAGAGGAATAGTGACAAATTATTGCTTAGTTACACACCCAGCAGTTGCCAGATGGTGTAATGCATCTATTCACATTTTAATATACACTTCAGATTGACTCCACTTTTAGTCCAAACCAACCCAAATAGAAACATGTGACTCTCGGGGCAGCTCTCTTTTGATAAAAGGGTTCCCTCTGCTTGAATGTCGACATGTCAGTAACAGAAAGATGCTAACAGTCGAGCTGAAGCTAAATCGAGTGTTATTTCCTTTTAAATCAAAACACATGATTTATCTATTACCTGTGATTATTATCTATTATTAGATATAAAAGCTGTAGTAAAACTCAAGATGTCAGATCCTCACTCTGCTGTCATTCATCACGTTGACCTGAACTTCCTTTTATCGAGTGTTTGACGGACACATACATGTAAGAACAGTAGATCCAGAGATGGATATGCGGTTTTTTTTAATGGTGTCCAGTGTATCTGGAAATAGTCACTCTAGCCTGTGGTCTACTGAGACACATTCTTACATTTCCCAGGAGGTCTTGTTGTGTCTGGTCTGGACCAGCAGTCCAGTTCTCATGACACCTGACCTGCAGCACATCCTGTGGTCAGGCTGCAGCACTGTGCCGTGCAGCATTCACTCATGAGGGATCTCCTCACATGACAGCACAAGTGAAGGGCAGGGTTTAGCCCTGGTGCTGCAGACACCCCCCTGCTATGGGTTTAGGCTCTGGACTGTGGTTGTTTTGATGAACATGTAGCTCTGATTGTCTTTGTGCCAAAAGGGGGTCAGATGTTTTCATACAGCTGCCCTCTCTGCTGGTGGGCTGAGGGACTGCAGACTACTTTTGTTTCCACAGTGCTGCAAAAAAATGTTTTCCCCCTTCCTGGTTTCTTTTTTTTTTTGCATGTTTGTCACAATTAAATGTTTTAGATCAAAGAAATGTTTTTCTTTTCTTTTCTTTTTCTTTTTTCCATACCTGCAGAATAACAGAAACATTAAAAAAATTGTTGTTGTTTTGTGTATCGGTTTTATTGTCATTACCAAAATTTGATCAGACAGAGAAATATACGAGTCAGTATTTGGGCTTTTGTTTTTACCAATACAATAAATGGCTTCTCATAGATCCATGTCAAATTCACAAATACATCAACCAATAATGAATAAATAATCTTACAAATTGGCAAATAAATAGTTAAATAAGTTAATAAATATACAAATGCATCATTTGACAAATAAGAAAAAGATTTGAGGTAAATTAAGAGCTAGTTGGCTTCAAAAATAACACTGGCATATTCATTATTGCAATTCAATTTATAAAAAAGAATATAAAATATTTCACAGACTGAGCCCTTATTCATACATAATTCCTGAATAAGTTAAAGAGAGGTGTTTTTCCTATCGAAAGGCAGAGTTATGATGTATGCAGGTGTAAAGCCTGAGAGAAAGAAAAGGAAGAAGAAGAGAAGGAAGAGAAGATGAAGGAGAAGAGGAAGAAGAGGAAGTTAAAGAAAAAGGGGAAGAGGAAAAGAAGAAGAAGGAAAAGGAAGAAGAGGAGCAGAGGGAGAGAAAGAAGAAGAAGAAGAAGAAGAAGGAAGAAGAGGAGGAGGAGGAAAGGAAGCAGAAGTAGAAGCTGGCCCAATCCGCCCCCTACACACTTGCTCTACACACCTGCCCCCTGTTTGCGCGTTGTAGTGGAGGCTCTGCTGTGGTAAGGGTTGTCCCAAACATGTAGTGAGAGTGGACCCTTCAATTGATTGAGATTGGGCCAAAGAAGAAGTAGAAGAAGAAGGAAAACAGAGGAAATGAAGAAGAAGAAGAAGAAGAAGAAGAAGAAGAAGAAGAAGAAGAAGAAGAAGGCCCAATCCCAAACCACCCCCTACACACTCGCCCTATACACTCTCCCTCCGTTTGCGTGTTCCCTCGGTCATATTGAAGGCCGTCCCACAGAGTGCCGAGGTCGATTGGACTGTTCAGCCCTTCAATAGCGAGTCTGCACCGATGCTCACTCACGACGGGATTTGCAGGTCGTGCACCGGCAAAAATGGAGGAGTAGGAAACAACATACCGATATAAGGTCCGCATGTGTCCACCTTTGTCTTACTGACAAAAAAAATCACAAAAGACGTGGTTTGGAAAAGATCAAATGAAACTCTGAAATCGTACTCTGTGCTGACGTTTGTTTTGATTGTGCCGCCACACGTCAAATAGTGAAGGGGTTCAAAGACGTGTGGAATCACTAACAATCAGAAGTATAATTTAGCTCCTGTCACTGTCATGGTTACTGGAGTTATTACTTTAGTTGGAGGATGAAGAAACGCAAAAGAAAATAAATGCTGCCTTGCACAGGATGCGTCTTCCTGTTGCTATGGCAATGAATCTTTCCATTTTTCGGTGGAGTGAGGAGGGCGTCCCATACCCGCCCGTCTTGTTTATGTCCTCCCATTTCAATTGAGGCGCACTCCACAGCTGCGAGTGTAACTTCATGACGAGTGACACTCGATAGTGAAGGGCGAGTGTGTGGGGGTCGGTTTGGGATTGGGCTGAAGAAGAAAAAGGAAAATAGAGGAAGTGAAGAAGAAGAAGAAGAAGAAGAGGAGGAGAAGGAGGAGGAATTTAAAGAAAAGAAGAAGAGGAAGGAAAGAAGAAATTGAAGATGAAGAAGATAAAGAAAAAGAAGAAGAGGAGGTGTTACGTATTTCTCTGACTGTGATGAATGAACTTTTTCAAAGTTGTCAGGAAAATTGTAAAAGGTTTTGTCCATCAGAGCTGTAGTCCTCCTCTGCTGGACCTCAGTCCTCAGAGCTGCAGTCCTCCTCTGCTGGGCCTCAGTCCTCAGAGCTGTAGTCCTCCTCTGCTGGACCTCAGTCCTCAGAGCTGTAGTCCTCCTCTGCTGGGTGCCCTTTGAAGCAGGCTGACTCGTAGTGCTTGTTCAGGTAGGACTTGAGTGCAAAGCTTTTGTTGCAGCCTTTGCACAAGTAGGTCTTGAAGGCTGAGTGTGTCTGCATGTGGGCGCGCAGGTTCGAGCGGTCAGCGAATGCTTTGCCGCAGTGGGCGCAGGCGAACGGTTTTTCCCCAGTGTGGGACCTCATGTGGCCCTGCAAGAGCCAGGGCCGGCTGAAGGCCTTCCCACACACGTTGCACTCGTGCTTCAGGTCGTGGGTCAGCATGTGCATGGCCAGCGCCGGCATGGACACATACACTTTGTGGCAGGTGGGGCACTTCCGAGCCTGCTGGCTGTCCAGGCTGCGGTGGGTCTGCTTGTGTCTGCTCAGATTGGAGGACGTGGCGTAGGACTTGCCGCACTCACTGCAGACGTGGCGCCCTTTGGATTTCCCTTTGTGTAGGCTAAAGTCTGTCAACTCCACGTCCTCGCTGTTGTCTGACTGGCTGTCTCCTTTCCAGTGACGCTTCTTGCTGGGCCGTCGGTGGGAGCGTCCATCTGACACCAGGAAGGCATTGATGCTGCAGGACTCGGGCTTCGGGCTGCAGGCGTCTGACTCGGCTGTGCTGCTGGAGATGGGGCTGTCTGGATGCTCCATGTCATGGTCGGAGAACTCCTCTCCAGCACTGCCACCTGGGGAGTACAGGGGCCTTTCGGAAAGTCTGGTTTGCCCATGACGTGACTCCTTTGTGCTTGACAACACCGAGGGTAGGATGTAATCCTGAATGTAGCCTGGAAGAGAAAAAGAAGAAGGTCACTCAAGAGCAGCGATAAGAACCTTTTTGTTTGTTGTCAGTACATTCAGACACGACCAAACATCTTTCTTAGCCCGGGAAGTAAAGACTACAAATCCCAGCAACACAGGTCGGTGTTGGGGGATGTCACTTCCCCAACCTGTTGATTGTGGAATTGGAAGAACCTGTACGAAGAGTGAGGATTCACTGCAGCTGTGGAGTCACGAGAAAGACGTCGTAAAGAATCCTTTTTGCTTTTTCATCTGATGGACATCATTTGCCTATTTGCTTTAGTCTAGGCTGCGTGTTTTTAAATCCACACCACCGCTTACACCACCTCTCCACAGCACACCAAAACCCTGAACGAAACCCTCCAGATAGAGCATGTTTCTCATGTTTTAATGAAGTGACCACAACTCTAACCCCCAATTTCCACCTCACCCAGAACGGCGATTTTCACTGTCCGCCATTTCCTACTGGATGCATTGTGAGGCAAGTTTCGTGGCAGATTTTGGACAGCGGGAATCACGAGAACTCACAAGAACCCACAGCTTCAAATGCGGTTGGTTACCCCCAATTTCTGCTGCCTCCGGAACGGCGGCAATCGCTGATCGTTTCCATTCAAGTCGATGTGTCAAATTACACCGGCTTCTTATCGCCTTGCTGCGGTTCAGTGGGGTTCGCAGCCGACAGCAAAAATCGCCACTGGTCCGTGGTGGAGCTGCTCCGGATGCAGTGGAAATTGAGGGTTACAGTTGGGGCTTTAGCCAAATTAAATGAGGGATCAAACTTTCATGCATCACAGCGTTTCTTTTCTTCCAAGTTGACCGTCACTTCACTTTTGAGAGGAGTGAGAAAGGGAGCTCTTCAATACTAGAATCTGATGGAAAGAAAAAAACGTAGTTCTACACACAGTACTTCTAATATTTCCCAACGTTTGGAGCATGTGGAGAAATCTAAATTTACCAGGACTTTCTGTTTTTCATCAACAACGTCCAGATCACGTTTTATCTGAAGCTCCTGATCAGTTACTAACGTGTTGGTTTGTTCAGTTTGGAGACGACTTTTTCAGACCCTGGTTGAGCAAAGAACACTTAAATCTTTGGTCATGGACAACTTCATGACTTTTAATAAGCAGTAAATAGAAAGTTATTGATGAAGAGCTCTAAAAGATTTGTGTTATTAGCTGTAGATTTCAACCATGCATATAAACACATTACAAAGTGCCAAAAAGTGACTAATGAGAAGCCGATATGCTGCAAACTTGCACGATGGTATTACACTGAAGGGCTGTAGCGAACAATTACAAGTATTTACTCCTCTGCAGATAAATAATTTAAAGTTAAAATTTAATATGCATTAGGGTGACCATACATCCTCTTTTACCCAGACATGTCCTCTTTTTGGGGACAAATTTTGAGTTTGTGTTACGTGGACTTACTGAGTTAGAAGTGCGTAAAAAAATCTTGTTCCGACCCGAAAAACCCTCAAAATTTGTTATGCACGACTCAGTGACTCCGCCCCCTTGTAGTCGTGTCCTCTTTTGGGGGATTCAGAATATGGTCACCCTAATATACTGTATATCATGTGTAATTTTACTGGTCCATAATTTTCAATCTGCATTTCTTTCAAACCAGACAGCTGGAGACACTTTAAAGACTGATTTACATGAACTGACAAGTAGCAACAACATTTTTGACGCTGTAGACTGAAAACAAACCAAAAAATTCAGGGAATCATTTTGTATTTGGTGAATGATTTCATTTGGATCATGGAGATAATTCATTACTTGTTTGGTAGTGTTTGTTTGGCTGACTGGCTACAGCAGAAATCTGGTTTAGGGGCTGAAGTTCTTGTTTATGTTTCCATCTTAGACTCTTTGCAGCATGTCCTCTCCAACTTTTGACCCTCTCCTCAGCTGTCTTTTTCCATAATGGCACAAACACTCTAAGAATATCCTAAAAAGGAAGTAATGATTGATAAGTCATTACAATTCTAGTAATTTCACGGTACCTGCTGCCTTTCTCGGGGTTACAGTAATGGAGCACCTTGTGGTCTCAGTAACCTTTGAAGAAAAGTACCCTCTGATCAATAAGAAACCCGTACCGGAAGCCATTTGTGCCAGATTTAGCAAGCTCTGAGGATGAAATATTAACGAGTCACTTCTGCCGCTGATCAATACCTCAGCTGGCTCTAACAAGTGCATTTATATGAGGTAAAAAAATGGTCGAATCAAATCTGTTGACAGAGACAAAACAAGCCGAGAGTTGTACCCGATCCACCTGTCGCTGCCACACACCAGCAAAAGCGCCGCATCTGAATGTGTGACAGGGGCGAGAGGGGATGGGTGATCAAAACAGAGCATCTCAGCAGTGAAATCCCCTCAATCACTAAATCATTTTAATCAGATCAGTCCCCATCTGTGCCCTTTTTCTGAGCGTGCATGAGTGAAGTCAGGGGGAGAGTAAGTGACAGGTGGGGGACTGCGATTTGGCAAAACAAGGGGAAGGGGAAGGGGGGGTGTTTGGCAGAGGGTCGGAGAGGGGGGGGATTCTGTCTGATTTTAGCAGCAGTCAATGGTTTACCAGCCCCCCCCTTTACCACCCCATACAACACATTCACACTCACAGGAATACAAAGGAAGCAAACAGCTGGCATCCTAAATCTGGGGGACAAATTATTCAACTTCAACACAAGATCTGTGATGCTGCTGCTGCTGGTGGTTTTTAGAGGAAGGGGGGGGCAAAGCACACATATCTTTGGATGCCTCTCAAAGCCAAACACACACACACACACACACACACACACACACACACACACACACACACACACACACACACACACACACACACACACACACACATTGTTTGCCCTGTTTATTCCCTTTCCTTTCTATCCTGTGTTAAAATCCCAGAGATGAAACCCGCCTGTCTGCCGCTGTACCGCTCATGTTGCACTTGATTGAATTACCTGCAGCACTCACTATTTCCCAGTCAATATCCATCCTCTAAAAACCCCCGTCCCATCACCTCTCACTGCCCCATATATGGATTGTGTTGCTGCAACCCTACTCCCTGTGGCTATAACATCCTGCAGGATCAGATGGAGAAGGATGGAAAGATGAACAAGTGAGGGGGGGTGGATGGTGAGAGGGGAAGACACAAGGGCAACTGCATCATCCAAGGACGACACTGTCCCATGTGGCTCTCTCTGACTTTCTCTCTTCTGTTACAGTTGGACCTGACAAAGGCTTGCGTCAGATTCGGTGCCTCGTGCCCCCGTGTGCACATCTATCATCATCATTCACGTACACAATAGTATTAAAGCTGAAGGCTGCTGTGTGATCTGGTTTGAGTGTTAAGCAGATTGAGGCAGCGTGACCTGAATACCATTTAGCATCTGTGGAGTTAGAAAACACAAGTCCTGAAGTGGACTCAAAAGGAGGGGGGGTTAGGATTTTGGGGAAAATCCATGAACGATTAAACGGCACAGACAACGAAAAATATTATTTCCACAACATTTAAGAAGAACCACAGCGCTGATCTTCGAATGACGCCGTCCACAGATAAAAGAGGCAGAAATAGGAGAAAAGTTGAAACTTACCATTTTCACTCAAACGCACCGCCAAGTTGGTGGCAGACTCAGTGATGGCATGTGTCTCAGTGCAAGAGTCATCCCAATGCTGCTGCTGCTGATGATGATGGTGGTGGTAACTGAAAGAGGAGAAGTCATGCACCTTCGGCTGCTTCACCAAAAAGGAGCGTGGCATCTTGATCAACCTGAGGTTAAGAAAACAGACGCCACAGCCTCAAAGAAAAAAAGTCAGGAGGCTGAAAAAGAGGAGCAGAAAGGTTTCCAGGCGGCCTTCTGAGGAGCAAACACACACAAAAAAAAAAGAAAGAAGAGGTTTGAGGACAAAAGGTTTTCAAAAAGGAATCCTGGTGATGGTTCAAAGCTGGAGGGGAAAGGAGGAAAGGATGGAGTGAAGGCAGCAGAGAGAGGAGAGAAAGCAGAGGACAGAGAAGATGAAAGGGAAGACAGAAACAGGCACATATATATGTATATGTATAGAGAAAGAGAGAGAGAGGGAGAGAGAGTGAAAGAGAGAGAGAGAGAGATGGAGAGAGATGTCTGGACTAGCTGAGCTCAGCACTACTGCAGCCTTTTATATGTGGGGCACAAGCCCCAAAGATCAGGTGGTGTGTTGGAAGAGGGAGCTGCTTAGCATTAATCCATCAAACATCCCCGGGGACACACATCAAATTACCACGAGCCGTCTGTGCTTCTCCGTGCACACACACACACACAAACACATGCACACATGCACACACAGCAGTCAGCATACCCACTACCTCCTCCTCCCACATCCTCCTCCTCCTCCTGCTTTTCTTTTCACCTCTCTGTCTCCCCCTCTCCCAGGGAAGGAGAGCAGACAATAGTGGTGCAGAAGCACGTGGGTGACACTACACACAACATCTTGTCCTCCATTGTCTCTCAATGAAGAAGCTGACACAATTTATGCTATCCCCACATGCACCCCGACTGTCCTCACAGCAGCCCAGCATCTCTGATATCATTATTAATGCTAATCATTGACCAAGTGCTAAAAAAAGAGGAGGGAAGGATGGTACAGTGTCCATGTTGGACAGATTAAGGTCAGATCTGCTGTATTATCACTTGCACTTGGTATCGAGAATCAAAAACAGTCCTACACTAAAAGAACTGATCCAGTCCTGCAGAATCGGTGGTGAATGAGTTACAGCTGATGAAATTTCAGGTTCTGGTTGACTACAGTATTCTCCAAATAATGTTTAAGGCTTATTAAAAATATGCCAAGTAACATCCAGAAAAAAAAGGAAAAAAAAGGGACATTCATTATAACTTAAAAGAAACAGAGATATTTAACAAACGGAGAATCAGAACTTAACTGAAGGAACACTGCATCTGTGTGAAAGGAGTCAGTTTATGGAGCAGTCTGAACAAGGAAACCAAAGAAACAAGATCAAACAGTATATTTAAAATAAAAACAGTTCAATATAATTCAGAAATATGACCTGGTGTTAAATAAATAAATCCACACATACATGTACAGAGGTAACTGCGCATGTACATGTATGTGTGAAAAGATACAGGTGTTCATGTGTTTTTATGTGTATTTGTGCTCATGTGATGGTAAATTCATGTGCAGATGAGTAGATGGCTGGGCTGCAGGCGTTACTTCGACTTATTTTGTGCCACTTTTGTCGTAGACGTTGTTTGTTTATGTTTTTCTTCCTCTCCTTCCATTTCTTCTTTGCTTGGAGGCATATTATCTAATTTGTTAATTAATTTCTTGTAACAAGGGATAGACATTATAAGTTCACTTCTTTCTGCCCGCTTTCATTCAAGAGTTACAGTACTGTCTTTTTTATGGGTTTTATTTTGGTTTTCATGTTCGAGACATGAATGAATGAAATAAAATAAACTAAACTTAACTAATTTGTCTTGTTTTATCCATGCTGTCCAACTACTGCATTAGAGTCTGGTGTGTGTGTGTGTGTGTGTGTGTGTGTGTGTGTGTGTGTGTGTGTGTGTGTGTGTGTGTGTGTGTGTGTGTGTGTGTGTGAACACTGGAGCACACTTAGAACTCCTACAGTTTTAGCTCCAACTGCTGTATCCAGGTAGTATGTTAGTCTGACCATAAGAATTTCAATTGAGTGCAGTTTCACTCAAACTAATGTGTTTACCTGCATTTGAAAAGTCCGTTTTAGACAGAATATTGTGATACATCAGTTTTTTTTTTTTTAAGTGTGAGTAAACAAACAGACTTTGTCCACAGTGGTGTAAATTTGAAATAAACCAAAAGTGACTTTGAGTAGCTTCAAGTCCTCAACACAACTGAACAATGCCTGAGGATGATCTGTGCTTTTCATCATCAGCGTTAGACAGCCTGATTATGAAAATGAGAGTATGGGTTTGAGTTCGGGTTCAGAGTTTGTGCTGCTGATTGCTGAAAATAGTTGTTTTTAAAAAGATTATGGGCACAGAGCAGTGTTGAGGATGAGAAGGGACACGCTTTAGACAAATAAAAGAAGAAATAATGTTTGATTAGTAATGGACAGAAAACCATCTTCACTGTAAGAATGAGATAAGATATTCCTTTATTAGTCCCAAAATGACAGCAGCAAAGACACAGATATAAAAGAGAAATGAAAGGATAAAGAAACTTATAAACATGTGTGCAGCATATAGATTTAAATATGGTTTATTGCACACTGAGGTTTCCGTTGTGGAGTCTGACAGCTGCAGGAAGCTCGATCTTTGCTTGGTGAATGTGTGCTAAACCAGCTTGCAGCTTTTACCTTTTCAGCCCCTGCGTGTCTCTGGCAGTTTTATGTCTCTCTAAAGACCCCCTGGCTCTCTGTGGAACCCTATAACCCTCCTCACCAGAATGAAAAGGCCCCCTCAGTGACTTCCAGTCCACGGGCTGTGGAAGGCTGACCTCTGGGTGCCTGCAGGGTCACTGGGTCAAATTCTGGTTAGTAGGAGAGACAACAGCAGCTTATACACAGCTCAGTCATAGATGGCTCTGATAGGTACAGTTCAAAAACAACTGGATAATAAAAGAGTATATAATCTTTAGAACAGATGTCAGTGGGAGGGGGACGGGTTGATTTAGTAGAAGAAAACAGGATTAAAGAGAAATCATATCCGCTCCGTTTTATCATGAAAACATCTGAAAATGCACCAAAAGTATCAAAAAGAGAAACTATAATCACACTGCAGTTTATTACTGACTCTGAAGCACTAAAGTGGAGTTATCCAGTGTTGAAACTATCCAGTACTCTAACAGATGTATTAAAGGGATCAGGAAAGACCCACTTCAGGGGCTCCAGTTTGGTCTGTGGTTAAATCATGACCCTCGTGTGAAGAAGCTTCAGTCCTCAAAGGGGCAACTGGGTTCAAACTGGATTTTAGACCCAGCCGTGCTGCTCCCTGCTCTCTCTCCTTCCTGTTTCTGACTGTGTGGACTGTCTCCTGAGTGAAGGAGTAGAGTATATCCTGCGATAACAAATGAGGCTTCAGTCGTTGTCGTGTTTTTGAAATAGAGTTTAGTTCTCTTCATTTTCTATTTCCAGAGTTTTCTTAACTCATTCCCTGTAGATGGTAACTGTGTTCAGTCAGTCGAGAGAAGAAATGTTCAAGAACATTTAGTTCTTATTAACTGAGCAGCACCCTCTGATGTGGATGTGCTAAAAACTTTAATAACCTTGAGTTAAAGTTACTCCCTGCAGAGTGAGGATGAGTGAGTGAATGAGAGTTTTCCTGCGGTTACCCCACAGAGACAGTTGAGGAGATGCAGTTTTTAGCATTTCATTAGCGTCATTTCTAATCCTCTGTTTATGTCAGGACATCAGACTGTTTTAGTTTAAAGGTCCCATATTATATTATATATTATATTGGTCTCAGGGTCTCAGAACAGTCAATTTTAAGTTTGTTGTCTAAAAACCCATTTATTTCCTGGACTTCAGTCAGCCTGAAAACTCTCTCTAGTGAGCTCTACCGAGAACACGCTGTTTCTGTGTGCTGCACCTGTCCACGCCTCCTTCAGCGCAAACCACGCCCCTCCCTGTCTCTCTGGAAGAGGGGGCGTGGCTTGTGCTACAGTACCATGCGCTAATGGTTAGTTCCAAATATTACGTGTCTCCATATTTGTCTTTTTACTTTGTTCATGTCTTCGTACACAGTGACTTACATGTAGCTAGGTAACATTAGCGCCTGCTAATGGTTACATCTTTGCTGTCTTCTCTACTTGGAGCTCTTTTGATAAATGCTCAATATTGTAAGTCTAGTTTTCTCTCGTGACGATGTTCTACAGAAACAGACGTCTGTGGTTCTTCCTGCAGCCAACAACAGAGCAACTGCCGCGCCTTGCACGTACCTTCGCCATTTTGAACCAATGTTTGCGAGGGAGAAAAATATTGTGTCTGAGTGGAAATTTTTTGGGGGGGGCAGAACAAACATCTTGGGCAGGGTCACCGACCTGGAGGGGAGGAGTTATCGCCATCTATGACGTCATGGAAGGTGATAGTTTCAATCCGACTGTTTGAGCAGACATTTTCTGAAAGGTGGAACAAGCAAGAGAGGGAGAGGACAGAATTTTCATATTTTGAGGAAGTTTGTAGACAGACTGAGGCCCGAACTACACGAATGCGGATATATTTCAAACCGCACATATTTATGTCCGATTAGGCCTCCCTACCACACCAAAACGGGAGTTTGGAACACTCAAACCGGATAAATCTGAATCCGGAAAAACAAGTGGAGAAATAAAAAAATATCCGTATCCCGTATCCGTCGTGGATTCGTGTGGTTGGACTTTTACGGATCGATGACGTCAAACCGCAGCTCGCGCATGCGAATTAAAAAGAAAAACAACATCAACGATGGCGGACAGACAGGGTATTCTCTACGTTTGTTTTGCCCTTTTGGGGCTAATTTTAGCCTTGCAAGTGAACCTTGTTTTATACAATTACATCCACCTGTCAGCCAGCTCACAGAAGCGTCTGCTGCAGCCAATACTTTTATTGGTCACATGGTCCGTCACATGGACCCGACGCACTAGCGTAGCTTCCGCAAACAATGCATGACGCATCACGCTGTTACGATTCATCGGCCAATCAGGTAGCTTTGTTCCTGAATTTTTTTTAAGCGGCACCAGATAGGATTGAGTCTGAAGGAGAACTAACACGTGTGGACAGATACATTTATTTAGACGGGAGTACAAAAATATCCTGATAAATAAATATCTATATACGTGTAGTTCGGGCCTGAGGATGACTGTTATTGTTAGAAAACCATTCCAAAGTGAATTTTGCATAATATGGGACCTTTAAATGAGCGTGTCATCCTCAAATCAAGCTCATTTGTCTGATAAAGACTAAAAAGATCAAATTCTCTGTAAATGCCGTAAAATTGTGACCGTCATAAAAATCAGAGGATCAGAGAGGAAATAACAGAGTCTTCATGCAGGAGAAATCTGGCCATCTCTGGTCTGGTGTGTGAGATTATGCCTGCGGAGTCTGATTAAATGCATGTTAAGTAGCATTGCGGAGAAAAGCACCCAGAGACCTTCTATCGGAGCCTGTTGAGCGGTGATAAGTGAGATAATTTGTGTTAATCACATCCAGTCATTAGAGAGCCACCTGAAAAACAAACGCAGGTCCTTTTCACTGACGCTTCTTTTCAGCACCTCCACAGAAATCTCCCACACTGCCACCCCACAGCGAAGCAGCTGCACGCCGCTGAATGAGAGTGATTGTCTCTTTTCTTTTAATCAGCATTTAGTGAGTGTGAAAATTGAGAATTTCCCCTCTTCACTCTGCAGGCGTGTTTTTTTTTTTCTTTTTTTCTGAGGCTTGATTGTGGTTTAGCTGCAGACAGAGACTTGTGATTTATGTCCTCACAGATTTCATGCTTCTTTTACCTTTTTATAACCAACTAGCTTTGTGCAAATGGTGTCAGAAAGGCTCCTCTGAGATTTGTTTTGCGCATTTCTCTGCTGAAGAAAATAAAAAAAAACACCTTGAACCAATTTAGAAGTGACTGGTTAAAGTCTCGCACATTTGGCCCTGTCTGCGCCGTGTCACCTGGAGTGGAGAGGTGTGTGTGTGGGTGGGGGGGGGGGGAGACCGGGGAAGGAGATGAGAGAAAGAAAGTTCCAACCATCCGATGAGGTGAGTGACGGGGGAGTGAATGGGGGATGCTGAAGAGGCCGACAGGGATGCCAAAAACAGGGGGGGGAGGCGTTTTACAAGTGCATTTTAATCTAGTCAGACCTCAATCCTGATAAAAGGAATCTGTCCATCTCTCTCCCCTCCATCCTCGGGGTCATCAATCACACGTGTCACTGGACTGCACGGGTGGAAGCTGGAGTCTCGTGGGAGCAGTGGGGTGAGAGTTGCAGATGCTGTCTGAAATTGAAAAACCCCAGTGGGGAAGTGGAAATATGGTGAGAACGATGACAGGTCTGATGGCAGGTGACGCTGTGAGGAAGAGAGAGAAACTGCAGATGCAGAATAAGCGTCAGAAATGTCCTAAATGAATGCTGAAGCACAATCAATACACCAAAATCTCATCCTTCAGTGAATCGGTCCACAGGCACAATATACCAACCTGAAGTCAAAGTCCGGCTCGCCTCATTGTACACTCTCTGTTTGTGAATTCAGAAAACGTTAAAGAGCCGCTGCATCTGAATCAGAGGAAAAAAATGATCCAATTAGAAAATTAGGAAGATAAACAAGAGAAACTGAAAGAAGAGAACAAGACACTGAAACTAAAGAGGGTCATCTGACTGATGGAAGTCAGGAAACAAATTACAACAGACTACAAGGAGCAATTTAAAGGGATATTCCGGCGTAAATTTAAGTTATGGTCAAACACACCACAACACCGAGTTAGACACCCCCTCAAGAGATGAATGTTACCGACTGCTTACTTCTCTAGTTACACCAACTTTAGTAACGACTGAATGAGAGCGATACACAGCGGTCTACATTTCCACGCGCAAACCTCAACCAAAAAGCCACAAACACAACTCACCCACTCTCCTTCAGCAGCCGCTTGTTTGTGGGGGAGCCCTGACTAATTGATCACAGAGTGCAGCGAAGTTTGGCAGCTAAAGGAAGAACATTTATGATTATCATGGAAATGCAATCAGACTGAGACACTAAGGCAGAAGAACTACCACGTCTGCAGTGCAAAATGATTATTATGATGATTATTACCTCATTGAAATGATCAGCTGCACTCAGTGATCGACTCGTCAGGGCTCCCCCCACAAACAAACGGCAGCTGGAGGAGAGTGGGTGAGTTGTGTTTAGTCTCTTTGCTAAAGAAATCAGGCAAAGCTAAAAGATGTTTGATGGCTAGTCCTATGGCTGTGACCCTATATGTCCTGTTGATGAAGTTAGGAGCTGTTCTGAACATTATTTGTGGCTATAGAGTGGCGTTTTGGTTGAGGTTTGCATGTAAAGACGTAGACCGCTGTGTATTGCGGCCGTTACTGAAGTTGGTATAACTAGAGAAGGAAGCAGTCAGCAACACTCATCTCTGGAGGGGGTGTCTAACTCAGTGTTACAGTGTGTTTGATCATAATTTAAATTTACACCGGAATCTCACTTTAAGCTAAATAAACTTTGTTTGTAGTTGATCAGATTTGACTTTAATTCATTTGTTGAATTATGTCCAACTCTGATGGACTTTGGTGTTTTTTAACCTGGTGTGACTCAGCAGGAGGTTACCTCAAACAAGGACTTTTTCTCGGCATGTTGAGAGCATTTCTGGAATAAGAGTTGTCACTTTGCTGCAGTCAGTAAAAAATGATCTGCTGCACATATCAGTCAAATAAACTTGTTCATCACCTCAGAGTCTGTCCTGGCAACCTTGGCTCCTGATATTGACAGAAGCCTCCGCAGAGCTCGCCTGAATCTCTGCCCGCCAGGATGCTCGCCTTGCACTTTGCCCTGCCAATAATACTGCATATTCCTGGCCTGGGGCCTACCGCGCTCCTCCGTATCTGTTCAATACACAATCAACTGATGGTGTCATAGGGGTGACATTGTCTCTACAAGTGTCATTTGCCGGCCTTGAGAGCACTTACACTAAATGGCTCTTTGCCAAATAGCCCTTCAGCGCCAACTGATTCAATTGCTCAGTTAAAAGAAGAATTACCTGCTGCAGGGCCCCAAATGGTTGGAGCTCTCGCCCTGATAAAGGACACCGGGAATCATTTAGGCTAATGTCTGCGCATTAAGTGAGCTTGTTTCGCTGGAAAGAGAGAAAGAGGCTAAATCCCTACATCTGTATGAGCGAGGGATGGAGTGAGTGAGTGTTGATTTGTCCTAATTGAGAGACACGTGGCTCAGAAGTATGTGAGAGGGTTAGGGGGGGTTGTAGAGAAGTTTGAGCTGGAATAAAGCAGACTGCCGGCTCCACGAGCTGTGGTTGGGAGAATGAGGGTCTCTCACCCTCACATACTCTTTGTCTCCTGGCCATCTGCTGGGATTTCATAATGGTGCTGAGGGTGAGTGTGGGTGTGTGTGTGAGGGAGGGAGGGAGGGTGGAGGGGTTGAGACTGAGAAGAGAGAGGGGGGAGGACATTCCGTCACCTTACAACCAGAGAACAGGCAGGCCGCGCTGCAGAAGGCTGCAGACGCTCTGTCACACAGGGAGGGAAATTTACAGCCTCAGTGACCCCACTCCGAGGGGGAGACTCTCCATCTCCCACTGACTCATTCTGCTTTATTGCTTTTGCCTGGACGTGGAGAGGACGCTTATTCATGGAAACATTGCAGGCCAATTTAAATGAATTTACAGATCAGGAATACAAAACCCTAACATCTGTTTTTTTACAGCAGCTTCCAAATCGTACTTCAAAATGAGATACTTTCACTCTTATATACAGTTTACTTTGCCAGTGACATGTTTTAGATGGAGAGGCAATTATTAGGTGGTGTTAAACATTTCAGAGAATGGCTGGTATTGCTGTCAGAGCTGATCTATTTTCTACATGTACGCTAAATTAGTGTCAAACTCAGGGACTGTAAAAGAATGGGTTTTTAAGAGCGATTTTGACCTTGTGAGGAGGGCCGATGCAGATATGATGCCAATTTATCCTCGTGCCATTAATCCACCCGGCCAACCAATGAACTGGTCTGTCTGTAAACTGCAGCAGTTATTGGTGGTTGCGTGCTGCATGCTGCTGCTGCTGTCTGTTTCACTCCTGTTGCTATGTCAGACATGCTGACTTAACCTGATTGGCTGTCAGTCTGCAGAATTGCCTCCAAAAACAAGCAGCTTGAGATATTAAGCCAACGTGCTGATAACTACAGTCAAGATACGGAGGTCAAGACTCACAAGTTGAAGGTGTCTTTTTAGGATTCATTCACCCCTGTCCACCTGACGGGTTTAGAAAAACGGCTCATCTGAAGATAAAGATATTAAATATTAGGATCACTCAAAAAAAATTTCCTTCTCAGGTTTGCCAGAGTGAGCGCTCTGTGGTTTATTACAAACTCGACATGTGCTGGCCTGTTCTGTCTACAGACAGACTCAATCACCGCATGTGCTTGTTTGTGAGGTGGTTCCTTACTTGCTCCCCTCTCTGTCCCCACAGTCGGTCCTGAAATGGGCAAAAAGGAGTTATGAAAGCGGCTAAGAGCTGGTCTCAGAGTGAAGGTGTTGGAAAAGGAGGAATCAGGCAGCAGACGCTTTAACTGATGACTTCCTGTCATACGAGGAAGGAAAGGTTGACGTGTGTTTTACTGTTTTGCGTGTCTGTAACTTTGTCTGAACATGCTGCTGACGAACAGACTTTTGATCTCAGTGAGACTTTCCTGGTTCAGTTTAAATGAAAAAATACACCTCGACAAGAATTCATTTACTACTCATCTCTGTTATATACTGTTAACATCAATTTTTTCTTTATACCAATATACAAATGAGTGACATACTATTTATCTGAAACTAAATATAAGCTCATATGTTGACTTGAAGTATGAAGTTTATTTGCTTTATTAACCTTGATTAAAATGACAGACTTCTTATTGACTGTTATCAGAACATAAACACATTTGAACAGATCTGCTCTGCACCTCCTCCTCTGCCTGTTTTTCTTGAGCTGTCTTTCAGAGAGGGAAAACTGTTCAATATGAATGAAACTGAGAGCAGCACATACCATCATCAGCTGAACTGGTTAGACTGGCTGAGTAAACCCTCACTCTGCTGAGATTTACAGTGAAACCAGCGTTACCAGCGGAAGAAGTCTGTCAGTGTGATTAACGCACTTCAAACAGAAACTGGACTGACAGCAGCTCAAAATGCGCTCCTGACTGAGTCTTTTTTTACACTTCATAAATGTTCATTTTCACATGTTTGTTTATTAAAATCTCCAGCAAATCAGTTCAAAACAGTCAAACTTGCTGCACTGAAATTATTGCTTTGTCATTTTCAAAACACATGAATATCAAAGCCATATTTAATAAATGAACGAGAACCACAAACTAAAATATCAAACAGTCCTCTGTGACTCTGAGTCCGAATCAGTTCTGCTGTTTAAATAGCCGATTTCTTCATTTCAGCCCATTAATGGGACTATGAGAAGCATGTGTTCACCATAAAACATGCAAATCACCACCCAGGAAAAAAAAAAATCCCTCATTTTGCTAATTGGCTTGCCCGGCATGTGTGCATTTGGAGAAAGTGGTATTGAACACATGAGCAGATGGACTCCTCCACACTGCTTTGCTGAGTCCTGAACACACACCAGGTCATGCAGGAGAATGGATGTGAGAGTGTGTGTGTCAGCGACCATCTGACACCTCTGACAACTGGTCTACAACACACACACACCCCCTGCCCCTCCTGTGCTTTACATGTGAATGTAACAAATGGAGTCTGAGGCAGCCAATAGAGTTAATTATCAAGATGTTGTGCGAGGGGGGTTTTCACGAGAAAATCAGGATGTTGAAGGCAAACTTTGGACCATATGAGACAAACAGATTTTTCTGGAGCTTCATGTCAAGAGTTAAGCTTTCAGTGTGAGCGCAGTTCATTCAGAGAAACAAAGTAAGAGTCTTTGATAGCTGTAGACTCGGGTTTTAGTCGGTGCGTCGTTCTGAATAAATTTGTGGGGGCAACAAAAACTTTGTTTTAGGAATCACTGACATCATATTTTTGAAACGCACCAGTTTCCATCTGCTCTCTACCATCAGTTTCAACTTTATGTTTCCATGGAAACCTATATATTTTATATATTTGTATCCATGTGGACTCAAGTGTCTATACAGAGCAGGTTTTAGTCCAGAGACAGACATTGTTTAAATTTTTGGCTCTAAATGAGGAGTAGGTCAGGGTGTACTGTGATGTTTCTACAGGTGCACAAAAGGGACAAACTAGTAACAGACACGTTTTAGTGTTTGGTTATTGGCCACGTCGAATTCTCCTTTTTTTTATTATTTGTTTGTAAAAACTTGACAAATGAAGGATCATACGTGTGAAGAGCTTCTGGTTCTTAAAGGCCACTTAAGGAGGATTGATCAAGGGGGCACTTTGGACTAGAATCTGACAGTTATACTGCTAAATATTCCCCCATCTACACATAGTATGCTACATTTTTTCTACATTTACCCTAACACATTCTGAAGCACACAGATATTTGAAACTGGTGTATTTTGGAAGAAGATACACAAATAAAAGTGCACAAAATTCCACCTTTTCACTCGTCCTGCTGGGTCCATCCTCCTGTAGTTCTTCTGTGGTGAAGAGATCACATCAGGCCAGGCGGTTTCAGATAAACAGATACAGCAGCTCCTTATTTGGGATTTAATTAAATGAGATTTCCTTTAAAACTCAAAGGTGGTCCTGCAGGGACAAAGGAGGGACCATAAGTTCAGCTTGTGTGGATGAAGTTGTTCCTGCCCTCTGCTCACAGTGTTCGATGGATCCAAGGTTGAATGGTGACTCTTACATACAATTATGCTGATTGAGTGACACAACATGTCGCCTCTTTCACTCTTTGATACAGTTAAGGAATGAAGAGCTTGTCCATAACAACAAATACAATTAAAGTGATGGAGTGCTCTCCCCCCAACACACACACACACACACACCCGACAGTGAGGTGTCCGGCATCAGGGCTGTTAAAAGGATTGGGTGTGTAACTCTGCAGCGTTCACCTTTAGGATGGCTCACATGTCGAGTTGGTGTTGTGTCCTACTGTTGGAAGTTGGTGTTGTGTCCTACTGTTGGGAAAATCAACCTCAGTCGACTTTTATCCTGTTACAAACTTTTTTTATCATAATATTCACCTCAATGATGATTTGTTGGTTTATTTGATCTACATTTCTGGTATTGCGGTCAGATTAGCTGCTGTTCCACTTAATTTATTTTCTCAAGGTTTTTTGAGTTCATGGGCCGTTGATGTGATGCCAGAATTTTCTATCTGACTGTATTTGTAGTAGTTATAAAGATTTAAACACCTGAAAAAATACCACTTGTTTGCCCAAATTACTATCCTTACTTCAAACATTTGGCTCCCACTCTGGTTACAAGTTAAATCTTAATAAAACTCAAACTCTTACATTTAATTACATACCAACAGAAAACATACGTAAACTGACTACATTTAAATGGAAAGACTCTGTTATTGAATGTTTAGGTGTAAATTTACCATAGGACTAAAGCGTTGGTCACTACTCCCAATGAATATGAACAATCAAATAGCTGTCGTTAACATGAACATATTACCCAGAATACTTTTCCTCTTTCAGTCTCTGCCTGTAGAGATGCCATAGACTGTATATAGAATGGACAGAGTCCGCCTCCTCGCTGGGTGAAGCCACCCCGAGAACAGCTCCCTCTGGTGATGGACTGCAGAATAGGTCATAAATCCCGCCTCCTCCAGCAATCCCTATGGAGCTGTGGACGAACTTTAGAAATTTATTACACAGAACATAAATTTTTCTCCCCCGTTTGTGATGTTGACATGTAGTTATTGTCAGACTGGTTTGTGCTCAAGTCCTCTTTTTTCTGTGAAGCACCATTTTTAAAAAATATTAGGGGGTTCATGTTTTCTATGATTGACACTTGATACAACCTATGGGCGTACAAGGATTGCGTAGATCACCCGAGGGATACGCTGTTTGAGCCGAGTGTCATCACAGCAAGTCTGCGCAATGTTGGTTTCAAAAAGTGGAAAAAAACAAACAGAAATACCAAGAGCTTTTTTGCTACAAATCCGTATACAGGCGGAGGGCGGAGCCAAGTTGTCCATTGTATATACAGTCAATGGCACAAATACGACTAGCTGGTAGTAAAAAGGCAATCACCAGAAAAAAGTTGAATAAGGAACCTCCAACAATCACCGAATGGAAGGAAATAATTCAGGAAATATATAAAATGGAACTACTGACATTCTCTCTGAGATACGCGGCTGGAAAAGGGAAAAATACTGGAAAAACTGGAAATCATTCTGCAACCTGAAGTGATGTCCTTGTTCCTAGACAAACCCGCCCCAGAATATCCATCAGGAGACTCTAGAGGTCAAAGGACATATTGTGACTTGGAAAAGGAGACTAAGGAAATATTGATCTCAGATGAAATATTGATTTCAGATGAAAGTCAATTTTGCATGTCTTTTGGAAATTCAGGTCCTAAAGTCTGTAGAAAGTAGCTTTAGTTTAGTTTAGTTTGAGCCGAGCGTCATCACAGCGACTGCGCGGCCAAATGCGCGCATCGAAAAAAATCCCTGAAAATACCGAGAGCTATTTGGCTTCATATCTTTATACAGGCGGTAGGCGGAACCAAGTTGTCCATAGTATATACAGTCTATGGGTCTGACACATAAAACTGGAGTAATGCCGTTCTGCTGTTTTTCCACTCCAAGAGTTCTAGAAATAAAGAGATCACAACACAAAGATGTGCAAAAGTAATAACATTTAATTCAAATAAAACCATGCAACAGGTCACCATCACCCTGATTAGATTCAACCCTTGTTATAAAATAAACATCCAGATCTATACATTGCGTTCAGTGGGCATTTTACTGTAAGAGAGATGAGGCGACTCGGGTCAGCCCAGAGTAAAGAAACTGAAAGGAGAACCCAAAAACAGCAAACAAGAACAATCACAGCTCCTTCTGCTCCAAACAGACCAAAAGTACAGTGGTGACCCTGCGATCAGACTCCCTGTTCTCTTGAGAGAGAATGCACAAAGACTCGTAGGCCCGCTCCCCCCAAATCCCTTTCACCCCCCACCCCACCCCACCCACCCCCACTGGCTGCTAATAATCAATCACTATCACGAAGCGCTATGAACCATATGGCACACAGAGGACAAGTCTGAGAACATGAGTGATGAGCCAGTAGTGCCATGTAGATACATACGCAGCTGAATGTCTAGTTGCTGTTCATCCCCATGTACCAGACATGCACTTATTTAAGAAACCCGTCAAATTCACATAGTCGGGATTGCGGAAGCTGGGGATTTTGAAGCTAACGCTGGCTGGCGATTAGAGCAAAGCATTGATTTGGGTAATTTTTCAGCCACTTAATGGATTTAAAATTGAAAGTGGAATGGTTCAAATGTTCAAACATCTCAACTGAAGTAGATTCGTTTTGCTGAGTAATGAGTTGATCACAGGGACCAACTGTGGAGAGTCCAGCGCACACATATGAGATTGGTACACTCAACCAGGTTGCCTGTTATTTTACAATCCAGATGTAAAACACAAAGAAAATCAAAATAACATGAAGATGTACAGTATTCTAGTATTGTAAGAATGAGTGGGCACTGGTTGAGGATCACAGGTTCACCTGCATATCCTTCCCTCTGTCCAACAGGGCCCCCCCAGTGAGCTAGAGGGAGTCAAGAGTCTTGGATTACATGGGGGTTTTGTTTTTTCAAGGTGGTGTAATCAGTGTTATGAGTTAATGATGCTATGCGTGTGTGTGTGCGTGTGTGCGTGTGTGCGTGTGTGTGCGTGTGTGTGTGTGTGTGTGTTTTGAAGGAGAAAGCAGCAGGAGCTTCAGTTGTTGTACGTGTGGCCTTCAGGTGGCTGGGTCAGCCTGCTGTTCTCTCTTGTCATCATGTGCTGTCTGAGCCCCTGCAGTATCGTCCGGATGTTGTAGGAGTTTTTCCACTTGGACAGCGCTGTCACCGTCCTGATGTCCACCTGAGCGGGGTGAAGAGGGTGAGAGAAAACTGTTACACAACTCTTTCTTTTTGTCAAATGGAGATCGGGTCTAAGGTACTCGGTCAGGACAAGAAGGTAAAGTGAAAAGTCATGACACTCACAGTGCTTAAGTGTCATGATAGCAATAAGTGCAAGACACTGGAGTTACAAAAAAAGAAAAGTAAAAATTTAGATGAAAAAGAAAAAGCAGACCTATTTCATGGAGACACGTTAGATGACGTGATTTTTTTATTACACGGCTGCATTGACTTCTTGATTGTGATTTGTCAATAATACAAGGCAAATATTTGTTACTACTCAATAGCTGACCATTGCTAAGATGAACAAACTTGATGCCAGGGACAACCTATATACACACAATAGAACAAATCCACAGAAAGGGGTCAGCCATATTTACTTCTGCCTCTTGACATTGTGACGTTTCAAACTCTGAACCAGGACTCCAGTGTTTTGGGCACCGATTACATCTCGCCATCGGTATGTAGATTAGTATCATGACGCAAGAATAATTTATGTGTATTTAATCTGATATTGTTTACTAAAATACAGATTGATTTATTGTTTGTGTTTGTTGAAAAATACATTAGAAGAGGACCTTGAAAAATAATCTAAGACTCATTCTACTGGACAAGACCCAAGGATGAGACCAAAGTTACAATGTAGGCATTAGCAAGCATTACTATATGTGTCGTTTGGAGTGACGGTCAGTGGCATAAACATTAAATCTGTATGACTAAGTACTCAACAGACAGCAAGAGTGTGATAAAGATGTTTCTTGAAAAAAAGACAAAAGCCTCGTCACTCTGACTGCGCCTAATGTGACAAACTGAGAAATAAAAAGAGGTAAAAAAAAAAACTGTCTACAATGGTTTTTATCATTTAGCTTAACTACAGCATCACTCTTTCACCTAACAATGTGACACAATGAGCCCTGCCATGTGGCGTTTGTTTCCATCTGCTTTTTATTAACTGGCTTTCATTTTTCTAACATGCTAAATAAATTCTTAGCAGCAAAGTCAAATTTGCAGAGAAGCCAAGATTTCCACTTTACAACAAATTAATAAACTTCTCCTGCAGCGACCTGTCCAAGAGAGAGACCCGGGTTATTGTCGTAAATTTCGGTATCAGTTTCAGTTTATCGCCCAGCCCTACTCCTCAGTTAACTTAAGTCCAAATTCAATCAGTGTTCATCGACCCGACACAAACCAAACTGACTTCTTCTTCAATGAATCTTTCTTGAATCAGATGGTAGCCATTAAGGGTGGAAGCAGACCAGGTCGTCTTCAAGAGAGGGAGTCGCACCCTAATTTCTCCTTATATAGTTTTACCTAATCACAATAAGTGGGACTTTTTTATGAGCAGGTGAGCACTTGAGATTGGACTTTCCAATCATACGTACAGGAATAGATGTAAATAAAATCTTGATACTCACCATACCGTTTGTGCTGTGTACCCCACTCAAGTTGATCTTGTTCACAAAGCGGACAAGAGGAGGGTGGTCTGGGTATGAGTCACCACATTCTATTTTCAGACTGTAAATTTTGCTTTCAAAGGAAGTCTGCAAATAGAGAGGATGACAAGTTAGCCTGAAGAGTGATTAAAGGAAATGGGATTGTCGCTTTTTTTATTTGTCATCCGTTATCATACCGGCCAAGACCAAAACTAATTTTCATATGCGAAAAACTGCAATAGAGTTTAAACAGAAACATAGGACCTCTTAAAAATCTTACCGTCACATTCGGATGGAAATGAAATCTGATCATGAGTGATCATCAGTATTTAATACCATGAAAATCAATCCAACCTGCCATCTACTGAAGGGATGACAGGTCTGGTGAATGGACCATTGATCTGTTTTTATTCACATGATCAGTGACATGATATTCCTTGGCTATTTAACACTAGTTAAGTGTCTCCGCTGAATTGATAACAGTTTCCCTGAGAACTGCATCAGCTTAGTTTTTGGTTGACCTGTCCTGTTTTCAGGCAACTTTGTTCAGCATGTTTCTCCATCTCTTATCTTACTGGAATGACAGTGGTTGAGGGACAGCTGGCCTCAGTCATAAGGGATACACTCACCTTATTGTGTGTTTTAATAAACACTGTTAATTACTCACTAAGTCCAAAAACAAGACAATCCCAACTTTTTCAGATTTATTTGGATGGGAAGAAAAATCTCTCTTAAATTTGGATCAATACAACAAAACTTTTTTTGATGTTTACCTCCAAACACAAGTCAGCGACCAAAGTTTGAGGACAATGAAAGAAACTTTAAATGTTTCACATATTTAGTACAGCTCAGTTGAAGTGGTGTAAAAATGATAGGATACGAAATACAAAATGATGATGATGATGTTATGCTCTGATTACAGCTGCACACAGCTGTTACACTTGGGTTATTTTGGCTTTGAGGGTATGACTGAAGACAACCATACACATGATCTGTTTGCTTAAATAGAGGAAATGAAGCTGTTTCAGTTTCCTGTTATTTCTACTCATTTTATGAGCATGCGAAAAAGAATTTTACATTTACCACTGACGACTGCTACAATGAACAATCGAACATACTTTATCTTTCATAATGAACAAGGCATCTGAACAAACATTCAAAAATAAGCTGGTATTTGTAGTCATTACATTTTAATGATTGACAGAAGAGAGGTTAGGATCAGATTTTGAATGCAGATGTAAAATGAGAACTTTTTTTTGGTTCAGATGCTGCACTTCCCCTTGAGGACGAATCAGGTTTTTCTTATCTTAGGTTATAGAGTGAAGGGACAGCAGCGATCATTGTCAATTTTGATGGATTACTCTATTACAAATAAGGATGTGCGCGGTTATTCGGATATTCCTGTAAACGGGGCTGTCCTTACTATCAGTCTAGTAAATAATATTCGTTTATTCTTTAAAAAAAAAAAGAAAAAGAAAAGAAGGAAAAACAAGAAAAAAGCGAAAAAAAAGCCTCTTTTTTTATTATGTTTTTACTGTCATGTCTTCATAAAAGTGAGCATTAAACAAGCTGAAATGTGTGGATCATTTGCATCTTTCCGCCTGGCTCGCTGCTCTGGGCTTGCAGCGCTGGCCTGCAGCATGCATGGCATCGTGGGTTAACTTCCTCAGAGTGAATCAACTCATGCGATCAGGCAGAGCGATATCGGTGAGAAAAAAGAGCAAATGATGTTGTCTGACTCTGAAGACTCTTCATTTTGTGCTTATGGTGTGAGGCAGGCCGATGACGCAGCAGGCTGCTTGGTGGAGCTTAATTGCTTTGATCTTTCGTACTTTATGTCATTCTTCAGCGCTAAAATAAGATTCTGTAACATGTTTTAATATTATAAGCATGGCTTTCATGTACTCTTAATATTTATTTCAGATGATATGATGATGAGGAATAGAGGAAATGAAGCTGTTTCAGTTTCCTGTCCCCGTTTTGGTTGACCTGTCCTGTTTTCAGGCAACTTAGTGGACAATTTGACCACTAACTAATAACCAGTGATCCTGACATTTGCTCTCTCCAAGTGCTCCTGTTTGGTTGCTTTCACTGTTCATTATAGATCAGTTTGAACTATCATTTCCTTTGGCCATAAGGCATTACTCGTCACGCCTAACATCTGGATGCTCCTCTGAGCAAGCCATACGTCTGTGGTAACGCACACACTCAAAGAAGTGGTCCGCCAGCTTTGGTGATGTGGTTGCCCGCTGACATAGATCTGTTTGTCAGATCTGTGCAGCTGTGTGGCGGTAGCTCGAACTCAAAGTATTTGGGTGATATTTTAATTCAGTTTGAGACAAAGTGCAATAAAGATCGACTGATACGGGTTTTTTAAGGCCAATACCAATTATTACAAATCAAAGAAACCGATAACAGATATTTAGAACCAATATTCATTTGCAGTAAAAATTTATATTTTGACCTTATTTTGAAATGAGAAAATAACTGGAATTAGCGCATGCTAGCTCCATAAGCTTCACAGAGACTGAGGAACACCTCTATTTTATCAGCTATCGGTGGTAAAAAAAAACAACAACCATATAATCAGCCGTGCCAATTATTGGTCGATCCTTATAGTGCAAATTACTTTTAACTTTTCAACTGAGCCATCTGGAGTTGATTTAAATAGAAATATGTCTGGATGGTTTTTCCACCTGAGCAACTTAACCATGGTGATAAGGCTTTGGGAGTGGCTCACCTTTGCTGGACCGATGATCATGCCATTCCAGTGAGTTAGTGTCATGTCTTCATCGTCTGCCAGACCCCAGCTTACTGTACCATCTCCAACTCCCTTCTGACCCTCCTCCAGTTCCTCAAGTAGCCGGAAATTGCGGGGAACTACAACAGCTTCACGCAGAGAAAAAGAATATTTAGTCTCATAGTTAAAAAACAACCTTACTGTCTCATATTTCTCTGTGCGATGGTTCTCATTAAAAGCCGTTTGGTGTGATGAATTTAAACTTTAATTCCTATTTTAAAAAGTTGGCTAATTTGTTCATGTGTTGTTAAATGAAAGCTTAGAGCTCAGCCATTAACCTGCTGCGGGTTGTCTGATTGACTACACCCTAGTCCATAATTGTTGCTCTTTAACTCTCCTGTTCTTCTGAATTTCCCCAGTGAACTCATAGCCTTTATTTAATTCATCCTGAAGAACAAAAGTAATTATCTTTTCCTGCTGCTAAAAATATTCGTGATGAATGGGCCTCATTCAACATCCTCTTTAAATTCTTTTTTAAATTTGTTCACTGGAACATTTCTAACTGAAGTCTAAGGCAAATTTATCACCCTGCTCCTGAACTGCTGAGTTGTTGGCACTTGTTTTCTTAGACTGACAAATGCTTGTAAATGTGTGGGTCGTGTTCAATGTTTCCAGTTAGGATAGGTGTACACCTCTTATACAGACATATGAATGGACACATGGGGTTAAAATGAGAGGTGGAGACACCAGAAATGCACTAACTAATATTTTACAAAGTAAGTTTAAAAAATGACCTCTGGGTGTTGATATTGTCTCATAAAAAACATATTTATGGATTTCTTCTTTCCTTTTTTTTCTGAAACCTATCCTACCTTGTCTTTCCTTGTAGGAAAACAGTCACAAAGTATTAGAGTAATGTTGACCTCTACTTTCTTTTCAACATAGAGCTATGACGCCTTGAGTTTGGGTGCTATCTTGATTTGTTTTAATTGCTTTGTTTCACTTCACTTTGCTCCTTTTTGCTGTTGGTGTACACTTTGAAAATGAAAAATCAAAATGGGACACTTGCCTTAGACATGAGGACCAAAACCAGCTTTTTTCACAAGTAATGTCAACTGACAGTTTATTTGAACAAGTGACAGATTTTTATAATTATCATATACTGTATTTTTCGCACTATAAGGCGCACTTAAAATCCTTTGGGCTTGTCGGAGCACTGCAGCTACCGTAGCCGCTAACCGTAGCAGAGTTATTGAAGGAGGTGAATAAAGTTTGACTTATCAGACTGTTTTGTTTGGCTTAATGTGCTTTATGTATGAAAATAGACGCGAATAGACACGTTCATTGACGGTGCGCCTTATAATCAGGTGCGCCTTATAGTGCGAAAAATACAGTAACATAAAAATCTGACAATGATTGTCTTCTGTAATCTTATTAGTTCAATGTTTAACCTTTTATGCTTGTTGTAGACCTACTGACTTGCCAATAAAATTGATCTTTTGTATTTTACCAAAGAGTTTATTTTATACCCATAACTTGACATTTTGCAGTTTAGACCAAACATTTCCTTCTTGAAATAAATGTTGTAGGGCTGCAGCTATCGATTATTTTAGTAATCGAGTACTCTATCGATTAATCTGTCAATTAATCGAGTAATCGGATAAGAAATGTTTTGCTCTCACTGTAATACTTTGCATTGAATCACGTTTGCCTCATTAAAAACCATCAGTAACACACAAAACTGAAATAGGCCAGGTCTTTCAAATGAATATTTTTACTGCATAAATCAGGAACCAAAAGTTTTACATTTTACCATGTAGTTCACATGAAACTACTGAAGGCAAGGTCTGCAGATGGTCTTTTAATTGCTATGGTAATGATCTTTGCAGTTTTCATTAAACCAGTCACAACTATTTCCAGGCTTTGGATCTAATTTTACTTGTTTAATTAATAGGCTGAAATAATATAATTCTTGGATACTAACATAATTTGACAAGCAAATGTACATTTATTCAATATATAAAAGTGTTACATTTTTATTTACATGTTGTTGTGTGTTGGTCATTTTGCAGCCCTCTGCTGCTCATCACACGCCTAGCAGGTGGTGTATAGCATTATCACCATGGATACACGGATGTTTGTGTGATTTTTTTCATCCACTGCCGCCCGGTTTGTGTCGTGTAGATGTTGATTATGAAAACACTTCGCAATAATTTGGAAACGTGAAGGGGGAGCTGCTGCTGCCCGGTGTTTACGGTAAATAGACGCAAACACCGACCAAGTTGACGCTTCGGTCTCCGAAAACGCCGAGACAAATTTACAAACAGCCACTATTTCAAACAACTGGGCTCATAATCGTGATGTAAACACTTACTTTCTCGCTAGAAAAAATATTATTATTGAATGAATTTATATAATTTGTCCGGTATGCAGTCGTTCTATGTAGCTTGTGGTAGGACTATTTAAATTTTCCCGGCGCTGCGTCCGGCCGGCACGAAATGCATTCTGGGGTATTTAGTATGTATGTGTGTAAACGCTCGGGCAGCCGCGGCATACTCAAATCATCTTTGAGTAGTCAGTAGGCAGTAGCTACTGCTTGAGTAGGTAAGTAGATAGCAGGCAGTATGCCATTTCGGACACAGCTTCTGTCTGTCCTCGTTTCCCTCCATGATTGAACCAAACGCGCGGCAGCGGAAGGAGCGGAAAGAGCACGCTTCTGCGCAACAGAAATAACCGTCCGTGTCAAACACCGTGCGCTGCACATGGTTCCGGATTTAAACGATTCCTCGAGGCATATAATTTGCCTCGAGGAATTTTATTAATCGAGTTACTCGAGTTACTCGAGTAATCGTTTCAGCCCTAAAATGTTGATTGAATCCAAATCATTTACTTATAGATGCCTTTAAATAATATGAAGCTGTCAAGAGAAGAAAAACACAATATTGAATGTTTTTGCCCTGAAGTATCAGCACTCAAATGTACAGAGCTCTCTTGGGTGTTTATAGATTTAGTATCTAAGAACAAATTTCTGAAGAGAAAACTTGAAAATGCTCGAACTTTCTTAGAAACTGTGTTAGAGAGTTTTAAGAACTAATTTAGCTTCATCGAGCAGTGACCTTCAGCTCTTGCTGGGGCGGTTCGTGGCTGGGATGCGAATCGGCACCTCCAAGTCCGAGGCCATAGCCCTCATTCGGAAAAAGGTAGATTGCCCGGTCCTGCCTCAAGTGGAGGAGTTCAAGTATCTTGGGATCTTGTTCACAAGTGAGGGTAGGATGGAATGGGAGATTGACAGGCAGATCGGAGCGGGGTCAGCAGTGATGCGGACGGGCTCAGCCTTAGAAATTGGGTAAGGAGCTCGGACACTCGGGAGGCGCTCAGAGTGGAACCTCTGCTCCTCCACGTCGAGAGGAGTCAGCTGAGGTGGCTCGGGCACTTGGTTAGGATGCCTTCTGGACGCCTCCCGTTAGAGGAGACCTCGTAGCCGGCCCAGGACCAGGTGGAGGGATTATATCTCTCGCCTGGCCTGGGAGCGCCTGAGAATCCCCCCAGAGGAGCTGGTGGAAGTGGCTGGGGTGAGGGCCGTCTGGGCTTCCCTGCTGAAGCTGCTGCCCCCGTGACCCGGACCCGGATGAAGACGACGAAGAACTAATTTCTTTTCAAAAGCGGGTAAATGAGCCCCAGTGAATTTACCATGACAAACTTGAAGGTTGAAAGACTTGTCAGAAAATAGAGAGGCATGGCTGATCTTGTTGGAGAGAGGCTGAATCAAAGTTCTAATGTAAGCTGATGTGAGACAGCTGTACTCTTTGTTCATCCTCAGTTTGGTGGTCTGGCTCACAGAACAGGGCTGAGAAAAAGGAGGTGTCTGTTCAATCACACGGTTTCCTGCCCAGGTTTATGACTCTGCCTACTCCCTTTCTTTAAATCCTCATCTATTTTCCTACCTGCCTCTTCAATACACCTGCATTTGTAGTTACGAGGTGATTTACACACAAGCGAGGTTTTTTATAGTCCGTTTAACGTGACATTACAGTGAGTTTCTGCTGCTGTAGAGTGAGAAACTAAGCAGCGTTTCTTCCGGATTGCAGAGGCTGACCCGCCGGCTAACCTCACCTTAGCAAACAACTTGTCATGCTAGCCATGGGCGTCACTGCAAACTCAACTGAACATCTACCCGAAACCAGAACAAATATCATCTGACGGTTGGATTTCATAACACTGCGATATCTCTGACAGACAAGTTTCACTCTGACAATTTACAGCCAGGCTGATGCAGACAGCCGGTTCTTACTCTGAGACCGAGATGTTAGCATTGCTAATAGATGAACCAGCTAGCGGCGTTAATGGTAGCTTTGTGTTTCGATACTGTCCTGTTGGAGCCCAAACTTTACTCGTGTGGATTCTTGTGAATGTTTTGAGTCTCACGCTGCGTCTATGATATGTTTAAAAAATTCTCGCTGACGTAAAATTAATCAAACACCCAGCCAGAACTGCCGCTTGAGTCGACTTACCTGATACGGCCGCCATTTTTCTGTGTCTTACGGGAGCGCGCACGCACAGTGATGATTTGCGCGTGTCCGCCCGCAGAAACAGGAAACTTTTTAAAGTTAGTGTGTCATTTTCTTTTTCTGAGTGAAGATATTACAAACAATGCCGCTGTTCCCATTCATTTAATCACCAATAACAGACATCGAATAAAAAGTGATTAAACCCACCCAGAAATAATAACCGAGAAGAGCATTTATTCCTGTTTTCATCAAGTTTCTCCATGGTTTTAGCTTTAGCTTTAGTTGTACATCACAGACTACAATGAGTTCATTGTTTATTGAGCCTCTGTCCTATTAATGTAGCATGAATTTCACTTGGTGCCACTATGTCCCAAAACGGCAGGACTGTATGGCTGCATGTTGTGAAGACACTCAGGTGTTTACTAAAAGTGTGTGTTTGCCATCTGCTGGAATATGTGAGTAGTGTCAACTTAAACAATAAACCTCCATAATTCCTTACCTGTTTTACTGTTATGGTAGTGCTGAGATATCCCCTGGGCCTAAGAGCAGCCCAGACCAGTACACCTGCTCTGTTTGCCCTGAAATAATGTATCATTTGAAATTTTTGGGATGTGATGACACCCAACTATTTAATGGCAAAAATTCCCCCCCAGAATGCTGTAGTGAGCATAAGGAATAAACTTAATTACATCAAGCTGCTGCTGTAAAAAGAACACAGAAGACTTTAAAACCCAATAAAAGAAGTTCTTCTCACCAGGATATCCGTTATCTGTTGACTCTCTAAATCAGTAAAACTTAAAATCAGTATTGGTGACTGTAAGTTTTGTAGTCCTTATAAAGGTGCACCTTTGGCCTTAGCAAGTGTTCAGAGGTTTTTTTTCTGTGGTTGTTTTCACTGCGTTTTGAGTTTATTGGGTCATCATGAAAATTGACTTTAATGCCATTTAACAGTTGTGTTACAAGATTACAGATTATTTGATCACCCCAACTTTCTATATCTCAAAGTGGTCTGCAAACTTAATAGGAGGCTTCACTACTTTAACTGAATAACTTAGCAGAATCAAACTACTTTTTAACAATGCATTGCAGTGTATTCCAGCTTTGCATACTAACTCAAGCCATAGTATGAACATTGAATTAAAGGAAGAGTGAAACGTACGCATAAAAGTATGAACATTAAAATCCTGTAGCTTTCTAAAACAAAAACAAAAACAAAAAAATGCATGTGCTGATGAGCTTTCTCACAAACAGCAGTAACCCGGGCCTGAGGGTGAGTTTATTAACAGCTTCAGTGTTCCTGCACAGCCTCAACACTCTCATTATTGAGGGTAACAGGAAGGACAGCAAATATTTTTTTTGATATATTAATTTGAAAAAGTAAATACAAATGACAGTGTTTAATGCAAAACATTTAATATGTGCAAACCAGCAAAATCCTTTGCAAATGTATTTTAAATTCTGCCATGGTTCAGAAGTTGTGTGTTCCACAAATGGCCACACAATGGTGCTGTTGGAGCATCCCCTCTTCAGAACTTACAGCAGTGTTGTAGATCCTGTTCCTCTCTTAATCAAAGATATTACAGCATTGAGAATAAATACTACATTTTCACACTTTTATTTTAGCGCTCTCACTCTCTGTTAATTATGTAAAACACAATATACTGTTTCCAGTCATTATTCCAAGTATGTAGCTTACTCATAAAAATATATTATTCTGATGTATTATGCTAATAGTTGTAATGTTTAGATGGATTATTTATTAATTATTAAAAGAAAAACATGATTAGATCCAAAGAAATAACTAGTAATTAACTTACTAACTAACTTACTGACTGACTAACTAACCAGCTGGCTTGTAAAGTCGCTGACCTGTAAAATCCCCACCGCCTGCACATCCACGTATCTAAGAGCACTGTGGCTCAACCATGGGACACATGGGAGCTTATCAAGCCAGTGGAGGTCCAGGACCAGACCCCCTGTGGAGGAGATGTTCTCACTTATGCTGGCAGCAGGGCAGGCATACTACCAAACAAACCAGGAGCTCCCATGCCCGTGGTTTGACTGATGGGGGATTCCAGTCTCATGATGAGGGGAGATCCTGGGCTCTCAGAGCTCTCAGCTGCTCTTTAGATGTGTGGACATGACTGTACTGGCTCGTACAGCTCCTATTCATCTCCTCTGTTTGGAAAGCTTCATAACATCTCTCTGAACTTCACTCCGTTGGAGTGGTGGAGCAGTAGTGTATGAAAATGATCAAAGTTGTTTTGGACTTTTCTTCTGTCAAACATGTTTGGACATTTGTTGATTTGACTGTGGAGTGACTGCTGGGCTCTATCTAGAGCACATTAGGGCTCAAATAGAGGAGTGTCTGTCACTGTTTGGGTATGTGGTCATTTGCATATTGAGAGAGGAGGGGGTTGCCCTCTGACCCACACCTCCCCCAGCCATCTATCGTCCACCAGCCAGACTCCCACCCTCCATCTCCCACATCCCCCTTCCTAGCCCTCCCACCAACCCAGCCCCTCTCCCCTCTAAAGACACGTTGGTTCTCAGTGTGTGTGTGTGTGTGTGTGTGTGTGTGTAACTTTGGGGATGAATGGTGCAGTGTTTCTCACAGGGACATGAATACAGTGTGTTGCTCCTAACACACAGACGTGTTCATTCACACTACAACTTTTTCACTTTTCAGACTCACTTCTCTCTGTGGCCTCACTATGAATGCAGGACTGTGCTGAGAGACGTAAATACATGTCCTCACAGACAGCCTCAGCCAAGAACTCCTGTGGAAGATGAGACTGGGAACTTATTAAAAATGCATAATGCTCATATAGTATTTTGTACACGGCTCACCTAATTTTCTTTGAGAAGATACAACATCTTTCTTAAAACTCAGCTGTTTGTCAGACAGCGTGTCCTCTAGTGTGGGCTACCTATAACTTTGTTTTTTGACAATGGAACTGGTGAGCGTCCACTGATTCTGTTATTGTACTTAAACCTACTTGTTTGTGGTTTCCTATTGTTGGCTTAACCTGAAATGTGATTGACGTTTCATGTCAGGTTTCACTAACAGAGTAACACACATGATAAAATATAAAGCTGCACACAGTTTCTCTGAAATGTGTGTCAGAGTTTCATTGAGTCTTCTTCATTGGGACAGAGTTCACGTAGAGCCTTTATCTCCTGTTACTCAGAATTATCTTGCATCCCTAATATATAGCATTTATAGCTTGGATAGGGGTACACATTTCTAAAGAACGACTTAAGTTACATATATATATATACACACACACAAATATATATTTTCTTCTTCTATTAGGAACAGAAGTATTTGTAAAGGAACATCATAGCAGTGTCAGTAGTTCACTGTACTGTAGGGAGCAGAGCAGACCCCTTTTTGTTGTCTTGTCCTTGAACTGGGTCTGAGGGGTTTAAAGAGCAATGCTGGCGGGATGAGCTGAGCGATCTTTGAAGTTGTTGTGACTTATCCAGCCTCAGTGTAGCTTCACTACAGCAGAATAAAGAGAGGGAGGATTAAAGACTTCATTTTGGGGGAGGGGGCAAAAATAAAGAGAGAGAGGGAGTGAGTCTTTTAAGAGTTTGTGATTTTTTTTTAATAGTCTTTACTACTGTGCATATGATGTCATGGACTGCCTTCTGTACACTGAGGGTTTATTAGGACTAAACAATGTCAGTAAACTTGGGAAAACGAAAGCTGATTCTAGTCTTTCTAGTTTGAAGCTTGATAACTGTTTTTTTTTCTCTTTATAGCTTCAGGCTGGTGCAATAACACCTCATTACATACTCATCTCTTTCATTTCTCTGTCATGAAGAAACAAAAGGGCTGTCTTCCCGTTGGTACACCCTCATGGGTCCCTGCGTTCAAGTCGTAGAAGTCACACATACTTCAATTGACAAATCTACACCATGGCATTGAAGTTGAAAACAGAATCAGGTTTTTCTTCATGAATAGTGACGGAACAGTAAGAGCTTTTTCAGTTGGTTCTACAATTGGCAGTATTTCAGTTCTGTCAAGCCCAAAGTTTTGAGGCCAAACATGACAGTTCTCTGACTTGCATATCCCCTTTTGAACACAAGGGGTCCACCATGCACAAGTCATTTACGATGGGCTGATGGTGCCTTCAAATAATGTGGGAAATATGGTATTCACGGGACATGCCAGCATCCACTACACTGAAGTCAACATGCATTTTCATATGATAATTTAGAGAATACACATAATATAGTATGACTCGTGAGTGAGGAAAAGAATGATGATAAACAACAAACAAACAAACAAACAACAAAAAAAAAGCAAAACAACAACAACAAAAAAAGATTTATTGTTTAAAGAGTAAAGTCTTACCGAAATAAAATTGCAGTTTTACATGTGAAATTATAATCAAGCGATAGTATTGAATTTCATTTTTAATGTTTATTGAATTTCCCTTTGGGGATTGATAAAGTTCTTCTTTTTCTTGTTTTTATCACATAATAAAAATCAATATGTTAAAATAAAATTTCAAGTTTAAGTTTTTATATATTTTTTGAATATACACTCCAGTCAATTTGAGATGCACATTTGTCTTCATTTTTATTTTATTTTTAATTTTTTTTAAATTTATTTTTATTTAACAACAAAACGTGAGTGACAAAAAAAAAAATTGTGACTTTTGTGAGGGAGAAAGAATATATATATAATAGAGAATATATATATATATAATTTGTTTGAACAAATATTTGCGTCAACACTTTTTATATTCAGTAAAACAATCAAAAGTAGGCCTTTAAAATAGGCTACAGGGTGCTCCATGAAGCCCTGGTTGATGTCTTGTGTAGGACTGGTTTTATTGACGCTGGTCAAGAGTTCAGTAGTTGTCCGTCCAGTCTCTTACAGAGAACGGGGACTGCTGCTTGTTCTGGTTATGTTGCTACCACTTACCTAGTTGTAGAAAATCCGAGGAGCCTTTGAAGGCAGCGTATTATGCCCCCCTTTGCCAAACCCCTTTTTACGCCTGTGGAGAGCTGGCCGCTGAAAGCCCCAAATCATTGCCACCACATACCGGCGGCTTCATGTGGGGGGACAGACCTGCCGAGTGAGACCGAGCACAGGAGACAGAAACTAAAGTCCGGGACTCTCTGTTGCTCCGAAGAATTGTGTTCTGAACAAAGGTGTGGAAACCAGTCAAAGTTGGATGCCTTAGAGGAAATTTGGCAAGTCTGGACTGCATGCCCGTGGAATTTGAGATCTCGTAACCTCGAGAAACAACGTTATCGGTCTCGGCTAATTTGTAAGCTTGCAAAACCAGCCGACTGGCGGACCGCCTGGATACTCTGAACGAACCCCAGAGGAAAGCCGCGTTTGGACGGAGTGACTGAAGAGTTGTGAATAGGACAAGGTGAGTGGCGCTCTTGGCTCTCTGAAAGCGAACCTCTTTATTTTAATGCCGTTTCACCGCTTTAAAGCACAGCTGCGGGTGTTTTCCCTCCTGAATTATCAGTCTGTCCTGAGAACTGCTGCCCCGTGAAGTCTGAACGCTGTTTGAGTAACTTTCCCTCATGAAAACCTCGGTGTGCGGAGGGAAACATCAACTCAGTCATCGTTGATGCCGTTTCTCATATGCATAACTTAATGGAGTTAACAGAATGAAGTAATGGGCTGTGAGCAAATCTACCTAATCCACTCTCTCGGCGTCGTTGCTCCAGGCTGTCCTCAAAGTTGATTAGTGGTTATTTTGAGGGTGTTGAACAGAAGCTCTCATTTATCGTCAGTGGCATTGGCTCAGAAATCTCAGACTGCTCACTCCTCAAAGAGTAGACCTGCCCCTGCTGTGTGCCTCTGATGGAGCAGGTCTCTCAGTTATTCCTTCATCACTTCTGTAGTTACTCACAAAAGTCTGATTGTGAAGGTTTCAAAAGTCTGAGGGTGGATGTTTTCTCATCTGTTTTTTTAAACTGAGCTCTGTAGACTCAGACTTCTGCTCCATGGAGCGAATGCCCTCACACATATTAAGCACATTAGTGCATTCCTTAGATGCACTTTGCAAACTTTATCTGTGAAGGCATACGGGTAAAAGCACATCAATTTCAAACATAAAAGTATTCCCAAAACAAAGGATTCAATAGATTACCTCATCAGGCAACAACATGCAGTATTTAGACAGGTTTAAATTAGTTTCTGTATATAAAAATACAGAGATAAAACTGTGCCAAGCAGTTTCAGTGTGTATCTAAACACCGTTCTACACTTGCAT